TGAGGAAAGGTCCGGGCAAGGATAACTTTTGATGGTCCTGAAATTACCATTTACGGCAGATTTGTAGTACGTTTCTAGGACATTTTTGGCTTATCTCAAGTAAAAATCTTCTAGCTCATAAAATAGCTTCAAAATCCATCAGAAATGGCAATTTCAGGACCATCAAAAGTTATCCTTGCCCGTACCTTTCCTCATTGCAAACATGAGGCAGAAATGATCTCCACATATGTTCTTTCAGATGTCCTGAAATGCGCCACAGAGTCTTCTGAAACATGAACTCTTTGCCGTACCGAAATGTAGCCATATTGAGTCATTTCAGGTTCATTTCAGGCTACACAAAATTTATCATTTTCTTGCACCGCAAATGGCCATGAAAGTGGTAGCAAATCTATCATTTTAGGACACCAGAAAGCCCCGGTTAAGTCTCTGAAAATGAAACATTTTTGATGGCTTGACCGGGACATTTCAGGTGATCTGAAACCAGCTCATGCCTGTAGTGCCAAATCCCGAGACGCTTGGCGGACGCGCTTGCTTGCTTCTGACCACGACCACCACGCCTGGCAGCCTGTGAGTTTGCCCCTTTCCCAAATAATCACGTCCAGCAGAACATGTATGTAATCGCTCTGGCGCAATAAACCTAGGACTTGAAGCTGAGTAGCTGTTAGACCAGTGTTCTCATTGAAGCTGCGGCACGCACTGCGGACTCTGTGCGCACGCTACTCGGAGCGCGTTTCCATTGCTGAGTACAGAGGACCGCACCTGCTAGAACATGTCGTGTGTAATATTCATCCTACACACCTTCTTCTCCTCACGTCCCGCAGTGCCTCAGGCAGCCCGCGGCCCCACACAACATGGCTCAAGTCGCTCTCGCCGCGCTGGCCATCTGCGTCCCCTAACTTGTCCATGATATCCGCTTCGTCGTCCTTCGAGCTCCTCGGGCGTAACGAGCTTCTGCAGGCATCCGAGTCATCCGGAATTGACGCGTCCGTGCCGTACCCCGAGGGCACGACGATTGACTGGCACCGCGAGGAGGCTGCCGAGCGCGAATGGAAGCGGACGTTACACTCACAAAGGGGCCTGCGTGGTGCCCTTGCGCCCATTGCCGACTCATCCAAGATGTGGCTCGTCATTGTGCTGACGGGTGTTGGAATTGGCGTTGCGGGAGCATGGCTGGACGTGCTAGTACGATGGTGAGCATTTCCTGATGGGCAACCTTGACTGTCAGTCCTTCCCCAGAACGCTACTTTGGGGATGCTATCGCGTGCATTCTAATAGGACGGGCATTCAGAGATGGCACCTCGAGAAAATGCCCTTCGAAAACTAATTTCTGAAAGGTTAGGCGATTTGCGCGAAGGCCGCTGCGCGTACGGCTTTTTCTACAATCAGGTAGCTTGTTGCAGTGGACTAGACCGTAAGCCACCCAGTCACGTACAAGCCGGATTTGTCATCTCACTCATGGTCTATAGCCGGAGAGGTCTGCACAGAATGGAAGACGTGGAGTGAATACCTCCATGTATCCTCCATATTGGGCCAGTCGCTCTTGCAAGCGTGGGTGTACATAGCTCTAGCCGTGAGTTAGACCGGCGTAGCTGTCTGCTTGACTGGAAGCGCACCCATTTTTCTCCGTAGGTTATCTTTGCTGGCAGTGCAGCAGTGCTAGTGATAACATACGCGCCTTAGTGGGTGTCTTCTTTAAGTGAAGAATGACATCACTGAAATGCTCTTCGTAGCGCCTTTCACACCGGGAGTATGCACTTGACGTTTTCCTAGAGAATAAAGTACTAACGTTGCTACCCAGTACCCGAGATCAAAGCTGTCAGTGCTATGCACGAATTTAAACTTCGATTAACTGAGTTTACTTGCAGATATTACGTGGCTATGTCTTCGATGCATTCCTTAGCCCTTGGACGCTCTTCATCAAGGCCCTGGGTCTTGCTCTCGCAGTAGCTTCGGGACTGTCACTTGGCAAAGAAGGCCCGCTGGTCCACGTCTCCTGCTGCATGGCATTTCTATTGTCTCGGATTTTCAAGGTCAAGCAGAACGAGTGTAAGCAATCTCAGCCTCCGTCCCAGTCCTGCCTTCTCATCGTCCGTTTCCAGCCCAGAAGCGCAAGTTGCTCGCTGCGGCTGCGGCGGCGGGTGTCTCTGTCGCATTCGGTAGTCCTCTGGGCGGCGTACTGTTTGGCCTGGAGGAGCTGGACACCTTTGCCTTCAGCAACGAGAACGACGTCATGTGGCGCGGGTTCGTCACCAGTGTCATAGCCGCTGTGACCTTGCAGTATATGGACCCGTTTGGCACGTCCAAGCTCGTTCTTTTCGAGGTGTCTGGCACGGTGAGCGGTACGTGGAGGGCGTTTGAGCTGGTACGTGGACTCTTATCCGAAGATATCAATCAGAGGCACTCAATGGACGTTTGCTTAGATTCCATGGATGCTACTGGCTGTTGTCGGTGTAAGCGACCCTCGCTGCTAGCCAAAGTGTTGTGCACTGAACCTCCGAAGGGCGTAGTCGGCTCGTTTCTGATCAGGCTGAATGCCGCTGCAGCTGTGTACAGGAGAAATAGTTCAATTTACGACTGGCCAGTGCTCGAGGTGGTTTCGTTTGCCGCACTGACTGGCGCTATTTGCTACTTGGTTCGTATATTGGACGGTGACATATACACAGATACTAAAAGCTCTCCAGGTCGTCTTTCTACGTGCGCAAACATCAGAGCTGGTGGCGAACTTATTTCAAGAATGTGATGTGACAAAGGGAGACTACCACGGGCTGTGCAAGTAAGTGCCAATGCCACGTAGTAATGTCATTTGGTTATTGAACTGTAGCACTCAGCCCTACCGCCCTCTGGCACAATGTCTTCTTGTTAATCCTGACGGCTGTGGTGAAAGTTGGGCTAACGGCTTGGACCTTTGGCATGATGGTACGCCTACTTGTTTCAAACGTCTGAGCAGCTATCGGACGCAAGTCATGCACAGATTCCAGCGGGTATTTTCCTGCCTACCATTGCCATTGGCGCGTGCTTCGGGCGCGCAGTCGGCCTTCTGACGTGAGCCTCCAGTACTTTTCCTACTGAATATTACCGGCTGACACATTGTAGGCAAGGGCTGCAGCGCGCATATCCGTCTGCAGTAATATTTTCCTCGTGTCCTCCAGACGCGACCATACGCTGCATCTCCCCAGGTTTCTACGCCGTCGTCGGCGCGGCAGCGATGCTGGGCGGGGTGACACGCATGACAGGTATGCCCTTACTTACTTTTCGATCCTCCGCCGACCAACGTCCCCTGCACAGTCTCGCTCGTGGTGATCATGTTTGAGCTGACAGGTGCGCTCTCGCACGTGCTACCAATCATGATCTCCGTTGTCGTCAGCAAATGGGTCGCGGACGCGCTTGGCCGGGACGGGATCTACACCGTCTGGATCGCGATGCGGCGCTATCCGTGGCTTCCGCCGGACGAGTACCGTGATCAGGGGCAGACGGCCGCGCAGATCGTGAAGCCCGCGTCCGACATCGTCGTCCTCCGTGACGGCTCGCCGCCCACGCTCGGCGAACTCCTCGCGTTCGTGCGCCGGTACCACTTCCATGGCTTCCCTGTCGTTGCAGGGGACGAGGACGTGCTTGTTGGGTTCGTCGTACGGGAGAAGCTTAGGATTTATCTGGGTTAGTGCTTCGTCAATGCTACGTACGGGGCTGCATGGGCTAACTGCGTGTTTCAGAACGCTTAGTCACGGAGGACGTTGACGGTGCGCTTACGGAAGCGCAGAGGTGGACCTTTATCAAGGCTGCTGCCGCCGCCGACAATGAGCTTGTGAACCTTGCACCGTTGCTGGACGAAGCTGTGCTCCAGCTGCGAAAAGATGTCCCTCTGCAGCTGGTCGTGAATATGTTCCAGAAGATGGTACGCCGTCGTTACGACCGCATGCTGAGCTGCTGACAACCTGGCCGATGTCCATGCAGAATCTCCGCCATGTGCTGTTCTCCCAGGAAGGGAAGCTTACAGGCTTGGTGACGAAGACAGACATTGTATGGCTGCTGACGGCGCATTCGCCACACACTGGTCAGTTAGCAGGTGACACCATCGATCAATAGGTATCGAGGACATACAAGCACATATATATCTACGTGCTATCTAGGATTATATGGCAATATAATCTAGTCCAGGTATCATGCAGCAGCGTCCTTTAGAGGGTATCAGTGAGCCCTGAGTGGGCTTAAGTGGTAATCGAGTTCAAACACATCTACCAGCCCGTGCCCTCTCCACTCGAAGCTCACAGTCTGTGCCACGAAAGCTCGCCGGGCTTGCCAACCGGCCTGTACAGCTTGCCACCCTTCTCCTCACCCGCCTCCTCGTTGCGCTTCTTCCCGCCTCTAGTTTTAATCTTGCGCCGTCTGTCCTCGTCGTCCCTGAACTCCTCGTCGTACGTGACGCGCCCGCCGTGCCCACCGGGGCCCGAGAGGAACTCGGTCGTCGCACGGACTGTCTTCGTGATCACGCTCAGCGCGGGGCACGCCAGGCCCGTGAGCTTGTTAATCGCCGTCGGTAGGATGAGGAAGACGTCGGAGAAAGACGGGTGTGTCGCGCCACCGATTGAGTACACCTGCAACTCCGTGGTCACCGTGTGCGCCATCTGCTCCGAGAAGATCGCATACTCGCGGCCGACGGTGAACTCTTCGGAGTTGATGACGAGGAGAGGATGGGGGAGGGGTGACTTCCACGGCGCGAGTCCTGGAGCGAAGAGTAAGTGTCGGTAAGGCGTGTTAGTAAGGAGAACTTACTCTGGACGGCCGGGTCGAACGCGACGACTGCGCAAAAGTCGATCGAGCCTTTCGAGGACGCGGCAAGCTACAACGCGATTTCGTCAGCATGCGCAGTACCACGAAAGTATGATTCGTGCACTTACTGCTGCACTGCCTCCTAAAGAGTGGCCGGCCATAACCGGGTTTGTGGCATCCACCGCCTTGAATCTGCTCCAATCAAGGGCAGGGACTTTATATCCGTCCGTAGGCCTTGCGCCGCTGGAAATCCCGCTCATAACATCCACGACGCTCTCGAGTTCTGCAATACGGCACATGATCTGCTCATGCCGAAGAGTGGTGTCGTCCATTGGTTGTTCAGGTAGGTCCGGCCAGCTGGAAAAGAATGGCTCAATACAAAGATAGAACTGAGCGTCAAATTCAGCTTACTAGAGGTCGCTCCACTGAATCCAGTCAAAGGTCGTCTTAGAGCCATCCGCAGCAAGAATCGTCGAGCTGGGACTTGTGCCATCCCGATGTTCGAGAACTGCCACGACAAAACCGCGACTGGCCATCTCTCCGCAGAATGCGCTGTACATCAGACGAGAGCATCCTACGCCGTGGCTGAACAGCATTAGCGGCCATTTTCCGTTGCGATGCAAAGAACCTAGCACGGGGGCCGATGGCGGTGTTTTCAGAGGTGCTTCTTTCGCTGCGGGGAAGGTAGTGCCGTGAATAGCTGCTGCTGCGGTTGGATCTGCAGGGTACGGTTGTTAGACGTCCGGCCGCCGGGGTGAATGGACACTTACAGGCAACCATGCGGTACCAGACGTTGGGTGTACGTTTTGCCATCTTCAGGAAGCCGTCAATCGTTTGTGAGAGCCTGCAGATAGTCGGGTCGTACCACTGTCAGCATGAATCTTGTCTGACGCTTGCAACTTGTGGAAACGAAGTGAGTCGCACAAAACGGCGAACACTTCGAGAGGAGGTTGCAGGAGGAAGTGTGGATACTCACTTGGGGAACCAGACAACAGATTTTGGCTTCTCCTGGTGCTCGCACGGGTAAAATAGCGAGAACATCACGGTGTCAATTGCAATGCCTGCCTTCTCCTTTGCCATGTGCCTGTGCGTGAAGGTGCCAAACGTCTGGCGAGGCACTGGAACCTCGATGTCGCATACGCCGACATCGTGTGGCCCAGTATACTTGGGAAGCGTGCGCGAGAGCAACGCGCCGAAGGGGGAGCGACGCGGTACCTCATGCAGCTTCGGTGGCTCTGGCTCGGGGAGAAACGTTGTTGTGTTGCGCAGCGGGGGGACGCTAGACGAGCGGCGGCGCTGGGGCACGGCCCGCCTGTGCGTCGGTGAGGAGAGGTCAGGATCTGAGTTGGACGAGAACTGGGTTTTTGCCATCGTGTGTGGGTCACTTTTCGCTGTGGGCAGGCGTGCATCTCGCCAACCTTTAAAGGCACCTGCTCGCGGAGGCCGGATGAGGAGCATCATCCAGCCTTTGTGACGTCACGGGAAAACTCTGCTCGCGCCTGTTCGCGCCGTTGCGTGACCCCGGCGTCACACGATTTCGGCCACCTGCATGTGGATCCCCGACCGCCCATATACTCCGCCAAGGCCCAAGGGGCAGTAGCATGTGTGTCCCACGCAGGTGGCCATACGCAGGCGAGCGTGGGACGTCCTTGCGGGTTGAGATCGGGTGAGCTAGGACTGCAAAATGAGCGGAAGGCATCGGACAGTGCAGCAGGGATAAAACGGAGACACAAAGTAAATTATAGATGAATGGCCGGGACGTCTGTAAAAGCAAGTAGAAAAGACTTCTGCACTACTTTTAGTACATACGAACTGAGAGACTCGGACGAATGTGTTGCAACGCAGCCACCTTGTAGATTGCGTACGATACATGCCTGATCCTTGTCGGTTAGTTGTTACCGGACCATCACGTTATTTCGTACGGTAAGGCATGCACGGCTCAGGTTCCCCTTGGCAAATCTTGAAAAGATGTGCTTTCAAACAGGAATAAAACTTTTGACATACGGACGTTTGGCCGAGTACTGGGATTGGCCAATTAAGGGCGGCGAACAGTCGCTTTCCTGGAACAGCCCCTCAACTTCAGCTTTCATCCTCTTGCCTTGCAACTTCGCGTGAAGGGGCCTCGTATGTTAATATGATATAATGTAATATTTCCAGATATGCGACAGGTATGATCAAGTATCCTAAGTAATGACTACATTATGTATCAATCTTCGCAACATAGTCATGGTCCTTGTCGATTAGTGGTTAGATCATCACGTTGTGGTTATTCGCAATCGGCTCGACTCCTCTCTGGGACATTGCTTTCATTTTTTTTGTTTCCCTCTCTTCGAGGGGAAAACTGAGACCTTGGGAGGCAATGCGAACGAAAACGTGGCCCGTGAATAGCTCGGAAATTCTGAAGTGTGCCTCAATGGCTAGCCCTGGTCATTAACGAGAAGAGGCAAAATATTCCACACAAGTTTCTGGATGTATAGGTGGTGGTATTTGGGCAGAGCGGGGCCAGACTTCTAGCGGAAGCTCCAATCCTCCATAACATGGCTGGGTTTCTTTCAAATCTTATATTATTCTATATTTAGTATGCTTATGTAGTATGCATCCTGCGCAAATATTTCTAGCATTTTATACCCTGAAGTTGCAGAGAATAAGAGAGTCGAGCGGGTATTCATTTACTGTTAACGCTCAGTGCCACCGGCAGCGTATCTGGCATCCAGACTGTTTACACCGAACGAAGCACGTCGAGGTTGCCCCACAACTTGAACGGCAGCCATCTCCCGCAGCGTGAGAAGGTGCCCTATCCCCTTCATATGGACCTACCTTTAGACAGGCCTACAGTGGCCTACATTGTTTCTAACGAGCTTGTGAAAGTGGGTATCATAATCATTCTTGCATCGATTGAAGATTACATGAAACCTAAAACATCCCCAGTTTTCTTCTCTACTCCCATCGAACAAAAATCGTTCGCTCTTGGTTCATACCCTGGTCAAATCATATGGCCTTCTGTCCCCGAAGGCGAGCTCACATGCACGGATTCTGGTTGTGCCACCGGCTCCGGCGGAATACGATGCGCTCGCGATGTACCATTCGAACAGCTACCTGGATTTTATCTTAGATCCGAGGAATAGTACTCAAAGTGCCGCGAACGCGGAGGATAATCGTCACACCGAGTTTGGTATCGAGGAGGTGTGTTGCTTCTAAGCGGGAAAGTTATAGATCTCACAGCATCGTAGTAGGATTGTCCAGTCTTCCGCGGGCTACCTGAGTACGTGCGGCTGGTCGCGGGCGCGACTCTGACGGGTAAATATTAGTTGCAGCCGCATGTACGCACATTGTTGACTGAGCTCAGCTACAAAGACTCTGGCCGACAATCAGGCCGATGTAGCTATCTGCTGGGACGGGGGCAGGTCAGTCTCGTCATCTCCTTTACTTCGCCCCAATTTGAGCATTGACACCAATAGACATCACGCACAAAAATCGCGCGCCTCGGGCTTCTGCTACGTCGCCGACTGTGTCCTCGCGCTGCTCACGCTCAAACGCGTGCGCTACCCGCCTCCCGACGGCTCGCTGCTGCCGCGCAAAGCGCGCGTGCTGTACCTCGACCTCGACCTGCACTTCTCCGACGGCGTCTCTCAGGCGTTCCTGCGCTCGCACGCACCCGCAGGTGCGCCGCAACTGCTCACGCTCTCGCTCCACCACGCCGCGCCGGGCTTTTTCCCCGCGACAGCGCTCGCGGTGCTCTCGGACCCGGACGACAGCGCCTTCGACCCGTGCACGCTGAGCGTGCCCCTCGCGCGCGGCGCGTCGAACGCGACGGTTGCGCGCGTGTGGCGCGCCGTCGAGCGCATCCGCGACGCGTTTCGCCCGGACTTCGTTGTGCTCCAGTGTGGTGCGGACGGCCTCGCGGGTGACCCGTATGCGCTCTGGAACTGGTCGCTGAGTGGTGAAGGCGGGCTTGGGTGGTGTGTGGACAGGGTATGCAATACCTGGGGCTGCAAGACGCTCTTGCTCGGCGGAGGTGAGTAATGGTTCTATGCGTTGTAGAGAAGATGGGGCCGACCATAGAGGCTAGGTGGCTACAATTCGACCAATGTTGCCCGGGCGTGGGCCTATCTAACGTCGATAGCAGTAGGTTTTATTCGCTCGATGAAGACTTTAAGTTGATATCTACGTAGCTCCGACAACCACTGCCCCTGGACTCTGACATCCCGGATCATAGTGCCTTCCCACTATATGCCCCATCTTTCACTCTGGATGTACCGGCTGGCAACGCGCAGGATCATAACACCGACGAGTACTTGCAGATGGTGGAAAGCCGCTTCGACCGCGCTGCGGAGATCATACGCGAGAAAGTTGGACAGTAAGACATAGCTGACCACAACTCCCAGACTCTTCTCGTCGTCCTTGTCAACGCCTGTTATACTCAAGGGAAGTAGACTGATGGTTAGATTATGGCATGCATTTCTGTATGCATAAATTACAATAACTTTGCGTGTTGTGCTCTAGCAAAAAAACCGGTATTGAGGTGCACGTATCCCGGCTGACAACCTTCAACAAGGATGATCGCTCGACGGGAGTGGTTTTGGTATTAAAAAGCCTAGTCTTCTGGGGCTATCTGCGCAGGAGGACGTAGACGGGATTGCCAAGGACGATGTTGGTCATATGCCGGAACGAGCCAGTGAGTGACATAAGCAGCCCGCCAAACGAAGCGTACGCAGTCCTGCAGACACGTTGAACAGCATCTACGAACACAAAGGTGGATACGTACACAATCTCTGCAGTTCCGCCATCAAAACGGTAAACCTAGCCCAGGCGTCAGCGTTCATGACTACTTAGCAAGACGAGATGGAGAGAGCGCACCTTCCCATACATGACGTATTCGTAATCCTCCTCGAGCCCTCGGCGACCCTTGCCGTCCGGCCGCCAGACCTCAACATCCTTCTCCTCCTCGCCGTCCGCAGGCGGCCCGCGCGAGAGCGATGTCGCGAGTGCGAGCGCGACCTGCTGGCCTTGTTGAAGCGGGAACAGCTCGATATTGTAGTCAAGGGTCAAGTCCATATCGTAGTTCTTCGAGTGTGCGTACAGCCTTGACACTGTAGCAGCCAACATGCTCAGCAACTTCCGGTGTTTTCGAAGTTGCACGGCTGAGACTGACCGCGGTCGAACTTCTTTCCCTCCTTGTCGATGGCATTTATCGTAAATATGTCATCAAAAACGATGTTCGAGGTATTAGAGGACATGGCACGGGCGGCGGAGATGAGCTGCAGTGGTTGAGCGAAAGTACAAAGCGACCTTGCCGGCTAATGCCGAACATCCATATTCGGGCATGTAAGTTTGCAGGCTTCGGTAGTCGAGTTTTGACGTCGAACTCAGGTCTGCGTGTCGACTCTCATATTGGTGTTTGAGGCAATATTAACAACGCTAGTTCTGCTTTGCTCATTTTAGCAAAATCTCCCATTTCTAGTCTTGTCGCGGGTTCCGTGAGCTGGCTTTACGCGTGACAGGCTCGGGCTGGGTCCAGTGTTTGACTATCAATCTCGGTTTATAGTCTCCAGTCCTAATAATGCTTGAGACAAGTCTTAGGCGTTCAGGGGGTCCTACATGTCTGGAAAATTAGAAAATAAATTTTGATGCCTCGCGACAGGCCTTCCGAGCATTCGCCGCTGGCGGCATTAATATTAAGTGCCACAGCGAACTTCTCGCGTCTGTAAGAAGTGTATTTCCGCGTAACACATCCAACATCGCGCGGGTGGCCACTCCCTACGTCATTTACATGCGAAGCTCGGACGAATACCCCAGCCGGTTAACAGCATCGCCGTATGGCACTGGATATGTTGACACGAAGATGTGGTCGACTCATCTAGCGAACGCCCCACAGGTCACACGCTAGTAGATCAGGGAGCGATGTTACGTAGATCAGTTACGCGAAGCAATATCGAAGACACTTCTGATATGTTGGAGAGGCTGTGCGCCCCACTTGGGTTATGTCTCCAGTGACGAGCCTCGCGAGCCCATAATTTCTACGGAACTTGCTGCGCCCCGCAGCTGACCAGTAGAAAAACCGCACTCAGCCACCCGGTGAATAAGTACACCACCGGGTTCTTTGCGTTTGAAGGCGCGACTACAACCAATCGCGTAAGTTCGCGAGTTTTGCTCAGCCCCAGCATCAAGTCGGTTCAACGCAGGTCCTCGAATCGTATCACATGTACCTCACGTGTCACCACTGCGCCAGTGTACCCTCTCAATGTCGACGTGTCTTTTTATGAGCCCCACCCAAAAAAGAGGAAGTACAGTGATAACTTGTGCTTGGCCAAGATAGCCAAGCAGTACTACGCAAATTCCTTTCCGAGATGACTCTATGTACAATTAGGATGATTTGATGTGACAATGCAGGTAAGCAAGAAAAATGACGAGAGCAAGAGAGTATGCTACGATGCGGAGTGCCCCAAGATAACAAAACGATAATGTACCAGTGAAGAATGTCTAAAGAGATATACAAGAAAGCAAAGGTGAGATGTGGACTGTGCAAGAGCTAACGACAACAGATGTGAGTACAGTATGTGACAGGATGAGATGAGACTGAGGAAACAGACGCATTAGCTGTACAACATGGACGACAGACGAGACAGCGAGAGTACGATAGGGAGCACAAGGAGAGCAGATAACCAAAAACAAATCCAAAAGGGTTCAAGATGAGTAGGCGATGGGGCGAGAAAGGGAGGTCGGGGGGGGCTCAGGAAGTTGAGCGCAGCTGGCTTTCCTGGAAGGTGATACGTGGTGGCCAGTAGAGCGGGTCGAAGTGCTCATCGGCATCGGGGCTCCAGGAGAGGCAGTCCGCCCCCGAGGAATCGGCGCTGGAGTCGTACGTGAGCGCGCGCTGAGAAAAAATGTGCCAGCGCTCAAACGCCTGCGAACCCAGCTCGCAAGTCGCGTACAGCGCCGACCGCTCTGGGTCGAAGAGCGGGAAGGACGGGAGCGCGCGGGGACGTGTCACGGGCGATGGCGTGTCCTCGCTATCGTTGCTCGAGCTTGCACGGTCGCCTTCTTCTTCGGTATCGGACACGAGCGGTGGCGTGCTTGTCCCGCTTGGTGCATGGCACACCATCTGCTTCTTGAAGTTCACAGACCAATCTGAGTCCGGGGTAGGCGTCTGTCGCCGAGAGCATCAGCACACGAAATCTCACCATTGTAGAGAGAAGGGGGAGGGGGGGATTGGTGCGCACCTTGCCGTTGGCATCTCTGAGCTCGCGCACGACGGCTTCTGGGCGCTTGAGGCAGCGTTCGCGATGTCGTTGCCAGTGGAAGGGGTCATACGCACTCTTGAGGGAAAGCTTGATGGCGGCACCGCAGCGGTTGCATACGACGAGCTGCGGACTTTGCACGGTAACGAGAGGGTCATCGCGGAGCTTGCGCTCGCGAGCCCTTTCAGAGGCCGCTGCCTTTCCATTAGCCACAGACCTGGACAATCATGTGAGCACGAAGGATCGCCGGTGATGCATAGAAAATTCAGCGGGGGAGCCTCGGAAACGCGGCCGAGGTCTCTTAGATAGAAAGTGGGGACCAGACCAGCAGGGGAAAAGATTACTTACTTGTACAGGCTTTCCCCCGAGGACTGGACGGTGGATAAAGTCAGTGGAAGGTTTTTATGGCGTTCTTGCTGGCGAAGACGTACCACAGATGAACCCTTTACGTCTTCGCGCCTGCTACTGCCGTTCGAGAGTCTTCAGAGCGCGAAGTCAGCTGTAGCTCGAGGGGGGACCTGAGGGGAACGACTTACGCTCGTCTAGGGGGCATGGTTATGTCGTTGGATGGTGGGGAAAGAGAGAAGAGTTGAAGTGACGGACGCCACCGTTTTGCAGGGCGTAGGCCAAACCTGCTCTTGAGAGTCGGCAGGGGGTTGCCGTGGTCCCAAGGCGCCTTCGCGGAAGCAATAAAAGGCTAACCTAACCCAGTTGGAATCCGCGCCAGGTGGTGTTGATCCCCGCGCACAGCAACACAAATCTTCAAGTCGCCGTGATCTTCACTTACGCCGCACACGCAGCGCACTCTCTCCCAACTACCACTCTCTACACACCAAGATCTTCTATCCCACAACGTATTTACTGGCAGATCCTGCCGCACGCTGCATCAGTTCAGTATGCAATCGAAGGGAAGGCCACACGAGGATCCTCGAGGTCCAACCGCCTTCATCACGCGCCGATGCGAGCGTGGGAGTGTTGTCCAGGGAGAACTCTTAGAAGCGAGTTCCCCCTGCAGCATCCCTGAAGAGACCTCCGTGACAGCCAGTGCCGCGGCATTTGGTGCAAACCTTCCCCACAACTCAGCTCGGGAGAACGTAGCGAGCAAAGCGACACCAGAACGACGTATGGGACACACAGTACTCACAATGGTCGCTGCTTTGTGTGCAAATTTTTGCACCCCCGGAGGGTCCACATGCAACGTCGACGGGGACGTTCATATCAGTCCGACATTGCTGGCCAGGTCCAATTGGCTGTCAAGGGGCCACCGTTGCCTGATGTGACTTTCCTCCTCTGCAGTGTCTCAAATTCTTGTTCCGCGCGGGGTGTCCCGCCCCGCATTCTTGGGTGCCTATTGCCACATTTGCGGCCGCCAGGCGGGCCGGCGAATACACTGGAGCCTGAACGTCAGACATTTGGGGACGGACTTACATAAGTACTGGTAGCCTAAACATATCTTGCGCTCGGGGTAGCGCTCGCGATGAGACTGTCCAGACAGTGAGTGTCGAGATTGCGAGCATCATGCCACCTCCCTGCGAACGGGTGTGTCAGAGCAACCTTCATTTTGTTTAGAGTGTTTGAGTCTGGGGCGGCACCCACCGTCGCACCTTCTAGGCTGAAATACCAGGAGTAACCATCCGCGGATTAAGGTACCCGCCAGAATTTGCCTGCGGACAATATTATATGTACTAGAAGCAGCGATTACAGTCCTGAGTTGCACAAAACGCGCTAGGTCGCGTGAGACGTGATCAGAAATGTCACGTGAGAAGACGGTCCCGCTGCCACGAGTTCAGCCTCGTACATTCGCGAACCGAATTGTGGAGGCCGGCCTAGCATGAACTTTGTTAAAAGTTGAAAGGACCATTCCGATCCATTGCTAGCCAGTCGAAGCGACCCACGGCACCGCGAGAATCGCTAACGGTACTTCTTCCGCCCGCCACTACACGAAAATAAGAATACAGATTCATACGTCTCGCATGTCCTGAGAGATAAACTAAGTGTACACGCGGCACGTAATCCAGTGTCCAATCACGACTTAAGTCGACGCAGACGACGAAGCGTTCATCCCCTCTTTGAACCCCTGCACGAACGCGCGGAACGGCGTCGCCAGCGTGTCCCACAAGGCCTGCCCGCGGCTCGGCTTGTAAGAAGCCGGGCGAGGGCGGACAGCCCGGGTCTCCTCAGCATCTTCATCTTCATCCTCTTCTCGCCCGCGTTTACGCGAAGTCGTGGCTTTGGAGGGGCTGAGCTTGGGGCTTGTTGAGGTATTCCGGGGAGCTGCCGGGCTGTCAGGCTGTGCACGCGAAGGCGCAGGAGCCGATGTCAGGCCTTCAATGCTTGGCTCCATGTTCGGGGAAGGCATAACTCTGTCCCGTGGCATTAAGCGGCGAGTGGCAGCGCGGAGGCTCGAGACTTACACGGCGCCAGGGCACTCTTGTACGTGTGCCTTCCAGTTTGTGACCATGTAGCGAGCAGTCAAATCTAGTGCGATCCATGCATTGCATGATGTACAGAAGACTTCATGCGGGCGGATTTCGCCTGTTCGAGAGTCGCCCTCAAGCGCTGTTCTGCCCTCCGCTTCCGCCTCGCTTGGCTCCTTAGGCTTAGCCACAAGTCTGCAAGGACATCAGAAACACTGCAAACAGAGGGAGGACGGCAGACATACGGAGCATCTGCAGGCGCCGCGCTGGAGACGGCGTTAGACGGTCCGACACAGAGTTTGCGGTGCTCAATCCAATTCTGCATAACGTATCGCCGCCTCGCGTGCAGGGATATCCAAGTGTCGCACTTCGCGCAGAGAGCACGATGGGGTTCGACGTCCCGACACCGCGGGTCGTCATTGAAGAACTGAATACGGTCCGGCTCTCGCTTGCGTTTCCGCGCCTTCGCAGACTCCGCTACTGAGACAGCGTCATCATCCGAGTGTTCATCCTGGCTGTTGCTGCGTCTGAGCGAGGTGAGTAGATATACGTATATGCATAGCTTGGAAGCACATACGACGAAGGGAGCTTATCCGCTCCTTGTACAGACGGGGACTTTATGGGTGGCTCGGTATCATCCACGCTCGTTGCAGAATTCGAGACAACCGACTGGGCGCGCGAATGCTTTGCTTTGCCTGCAGGTTTCTTCGGGGCGGTTATCTGGCTCGTCGGAGAAGGACCTGGCAATCTTCACAAGGATAAATCAAATATCAATAAACAGCGTAACTCGGGCCACATACTCTACGTCTACTTTCTTTGGTACGCGTTTGCCGGCTGAGACCTGCAAGAAAAAGCGTTTAAGATATAGGATTGCAGGGCACTACAACAAAGTCCAGCATGCCTTCTCCTCGCTTTCGCGCGCTTTTTCGTTTTCTGTTACTTGTGTTATGGTGACCTTCTTTTGTTTCCTGTTATATTGATTATGACACTGTGGCCCCAGCAGACATTTGAAGGACGCACTCGAATGCACGACTGTTCCTGTTCATCTTCACGCGAAGTTACTCAGGTAAGCACGTGTAGTATTGCACAAGGCAGGCGAATAAGTCTTCGTATATCCGCGCGATAGGACGACTGTTGCCGTAGGTAGCCTTTTACTACCGCCCACATAAGGTGCGGAGCCTAATGAGCGGACGCATGTACTACGAGGCTGACGCAGCGCACCTTTCAATCCAACGTTACAGCAACTTGCACTATTCAGCTACCTATCTCGGTTCTAAATCGTAGAGACCACGCAAGGATTTAACACAAGATGTGCGCAGAGGGTACAATGGGCGTAAGTGCCGTGCGGCCTAAGCGCGCACCGGTCGTGACATAGCAATTAGCTTATGTAATGGCGCATCAATTGGCGCATCAGATGGCGCAAATCCCGGGGCATATTCTACGTAGTAAACTCGCATCACTCTTAGGCTCGATACCAGCCACCCTGGCCATAATAATGGCCAGGGCATTCCAGCGTACCGACCACCCATATAACCTCGGTACGCGCCCCACCAACTACCGAGTAGACTGGCCACGAGTCTACATCACTCTTGTTCTCAAGTTTTAGAGCATGTGCCGCAACCCGTTCACATTTATGCAAAAAGTGACAGCACTGTGCGTAGTACACAGGTATCTAGTGTGAAGAATACGTGAGCGACGTTGAAAGCGACTCGTGATGATTACAGTAATGTTGTACACAAGGATGCCATCTAGTTTCGACCAGGTCACAATATCATGCCAGTTTAGATCACAGGATCTGAGTCGTTATAATGTCAGCTTGAACACTTGTACACTGCGTCACACGTTGCTTACCATACTGGGGCTGAGTGTTCGTACTGCTACCACCAAAGTCTTTGGTATCGACCGCTGAGGCATGTATCAGCAGAGTCATTTGGAATAAGCGAATCACGCAAAGAAGCTCACCTCCTGGGTCACGTATGGCAATACCAGCGCGCTTGTTTGCACCTGGTTCCTCCTTGGGGTCGCGGCGAACCTCCATCTTGTCAAGCTGCTCGTCGGGGATCTTCTGTGTCGCCTCGGTGGGGAGTTGTTCGACAAGCTTGTCGCCGACAAACGTTTGTTCGACCATCGTGAATAGAGTATATAGGGGGAGGCAAAAATCGAGATGCGAGGGGTCGTTCGAGAGTCGTGTAAGTACAGCTGCTGTTGTGCGTAGTGAAGACTTTGCGGTCGCTGCAACAGCCTTTATACGTCGCAAGTGACCTTGACGCAAACACATCATTGTGATGATCTCAGTGGAGCAGCATACCCCACAACGTTGTAGAAGGGCTGCGGCACTCGAAAGCACCAGAAGGATTATTATTCTAACGAAGCGCCCGCATGGACTGGAGGTCGATGTGACGTCCAGGGCATCGACTGAGTTCAGGGTTGTACAAGCGAGCCGAGGGAATGTTGCTTCAAAGGATACATAGACTCGGTGAGCCAAAAGTACATTTAATCTACGAGGTGGAATCACGGCACATGTAGTTTACGCTAGTCGTCGTCGATCGGCGGTCGAACAACTCCACTATGCAGCATCGCATCGACTACAGAATCTTGTATGGCGCGACTACCACTAGAATAGGACGAGTGACTTCAGTCAGCGGCACTTTTTGAGAAGACGCGTGTGACTTACAGGACCGTTCGAACAGCATCTCTGAGCACAGTGCCACTAGGAAGCTCAATCTTCTCGACTCCAGATAGGGGGTCTGCCCTAGTTGGGCCGACGTTCAGAAGCAGAACTGGCTTCTTCAGCTCCAGCGCATGCTTCACCAACCTAAGATCGGTCAGTTTTCAGTAGATGATCTGGAGAAGATATGATACCTGAACGCAGAGTAAGTCGCAAGAGTGGTGCCCACTAGGAACAATCTACTACAGTTCTCGACATCTAGTTGGCTATAAATGTGGATAGGTAAGTAATCTGATAGCGCTTCACAGAATCTACGTGTACTCACGAGCGATCCCGTACTTCTCGCTTGATTGACTCGCCGAAGAATATCAGCTCTGGTTTCAACTGCAGCGGAGATGCTGTTAATCCAGGCGACCCGGCATTGATGCAATGAACCGCTTACGATCGAATTAAGTCTACTCTCGAGCAAACAGTCTGGACATTCAGGTACCTTGAAGGTACCGTAGTCTACGCCTTCCAAGAAGACCTGTGCGTGACATTGGGTATACGCACATCACATGAACCAGGAGCACGTACGTCACCGTCTGGGTTTGTGCGAGGTCTCTGACCGGTCGCTTCCAACTCGTCCATGTAAGCTTTCCACTGCGGATTCGCGACTGACAAACGATCCTGGAAGGTGTCACGATCTACGATATGCCCATGGCTACAATGCACTTTCTACATGCCACATGCATTAAGTTCTGCACATGACGCGACAGGATGAGCATACATGCAAGCTACCATGCAACTCGAGGATATGCTGATTCATGCGCGCCTCGTCCCATATTCCGGCCAGAGCCTTGTGGTGCAGGCCGTCGACATTCTGGGTGATTAGCTTGGGTATGATGTTGGTATACTGTAATGCTGCAAGAGCATAGTGGGTAGTATTCGGGAGTGCGTCTCGGACTGGTTTATAGCCCAAGTAAGATCGTAGCCTGTATACGAGGTCGGCTAGTGATCAGTTGTCTGCACCACACAAGCGCACCAATATCGTTGTCTGTTCATCCGGAACCAAAATCAGTGAAAGCGATCTAAAAGCAGCTGACGTACAGACGCACCTGAATGCAAAGCCCTTCTTAGTAGCGTCCACCAGTTCCTGATACTGCAAGCCGGGGTTAGTCAAGTCGCACTCCGATAGCTCGATGCACGACTCACAAATATCGGCCTGCGACACTATTTATCAATACATATTATAAGCAGGCCAACGTTGCACGCAAGACGCACTTGTAGTTTGGATTCAGGTATCGACCCTTGGAGCCACGATACGCTCTAATGCCGGAGTCGACGCTGACGCCCGCTCCGGTGACGGTCGCAACATTGCCAGAGGCGAGGAAACTCGCTATTCGCTCAACGGCCGCCGCAGGGGAGATAGGCTTCGCCGACGACGTCGACGACAAGATCGCCGCCGGGATGGTAGGAACAGAGATGCGCATTGGCTTGTGATTTCCGCCGAAGCCGACCTCGGCGCGGAGTGCGTCCGAGACTTTAGCCCATCCTCGGACCTTGACCTCGACCCACCATTATGAATAGTCTCAAAGTGCCGCCGCTCCTATTGCAGACACCAGGCTTCGCACACTATGGACTCGCATGGTCACCCTTCCATGAGTCGCGCCTGGCCGTCGCCTCTGCGGCGAACTATGGCTTAGTGGGAAACGGCAGGCTTCACTGCACCTCGATCGGACCGGGCTCTGCAGGTGCGCCGGCGTTGCACCTTAACAAACAGTGAGTTTCATTTGTCGGGAGCATGCGAAAGAAGCTGAAGAGATGCAGATATGATACACAGGACGGCCTCTACGATGTTGCGTGGTCGGAGATACACGAGAACCAGCTCATAACCGCGTCAGGAGACGGGTCAATAAAGCTGTGGGATGTTATGATAAACGTGAGTGCTGTTGCGACGCGCATAGCCGCTGTCTGTTCAACATTCATGGGGTTGCAAGCACCTTTAGGATCTTCCTATCCTTGCCTGGCACGAACACACACGCGAAGCATTCTCCGTTGATTGGTCAAATGTCAAGAAAGACCTTTTTATCTCATCTTCGTGGGATGGCACCGTCAAGCTGGCAAGCGTTCTGTCACATTCTCACTGAAGCTTTCTGAAACTTGTAACGGAATTTTAGTGGTCCACAGAACGTCCGCGGTCAATCTCAACGATACAGGCGCATACATCCTGTGTGTACCAAGCCCTCTGGTCGCCGCATCAACCAGACGTCCTGGCTACATGCTCAACCGACGGCACACTTAAGATCTTCGATTTACGTGCGCCAGCCTACGTGCCGGGCAATTTCACGACGCCTGTTTCGGCAGCAGCGCTGACTGTGCCTGCGTCGGGAACCGAGATCCTGACGCTAGATTGGAACAAGTACCGGCCATTTGTGCTTGCAAGCGGCGGTGTCGACAAGGTGATTCGTGTGTGGGACTGTCGAATGGTGAAGCTAGGTCCCGAAGCCGCGAACACACCTGGCGTCGGGGGCGTGTGCGAGTCCCAACTCATTGGGCATGAATGGGCGATAAGGAAGCTGCAATGGAGTCCGCACCGCCCAGATCTATTGGCTTCTGCAAGCTACGATATGACATGTCGCGTGTAAGCCGCATGTGTTGATCACGGCTAGAAGCACGCCTAACGTCCACTTCTGCAGGTGGGCGACTGCACCAACGCCCGACGGCAGTAATTTGCTCCATATCCATGACGCACACACGGAGTTTGTGGTTGGTTGTGCGTGGTCGCTATATGAAGAACGTGTTCTTGCTACATGCAGCTGGGACTGCAAAGTGAACGTGTTGCGCGTGTAGTTGTACTTTAGGTGAGAAGTAAGCAGCTTCCTTGACTCCCGATCGCCTTCGCTGACTACGCGACATTGGGGCAGTGTAACATCTGAGTATTGTGTGTATGGATATTCACCTCTTCAACCGAACGCCTCAGTCAGAGCCACCTGATGCGTCATCTCAAACGTTGGACAAGGATCAGTAGACAAGTTGTCTGCAGGTCGTTTAAGGTTGTTTTGCTACCATGTGGCCATCCGGACATCAACGGGCGCGAGCGTTTCGCCTAGTACCAGCAGTTCGGCTAGCAACGCGCTCACAGCTCTGCAGATATCCTTCGCTCTTGACACTAACTATGAGTCCGTGCCAATCGGAGTGATTTGAAGGTGGGTAGTTCATGTGTATCTCATCTGCTTTTGCCCCTGCTGAGTATGGGAGGACGCTAGTCACCCAGAGGTCCGCATCGTCCTGTACGGCTATCTCCAGCGACCTCTCTGCGAGTAAACCTTCGATAAGAAACAGAAAGGGGCAAATGCCAAATGGAACAGTGTGGCTAGACCGTCTGCGTGAGGTTTATCTTGTAGGTGTTTTGCTGACGTGATCGCTTCATCAGCGACTACCGGAACGAAGACGGCACCGAGCGACAGAATGTTCGTTACTCGTTGGAGGTCACCATTGGACAGCCACAAGCAGCTTCATGCACAAAGATGCACAACTACGCCAAGAACCGTGCCAGCACGAGTGAGTGATCCAGCACGTTGCAGCTGCGCACGGTTTGACAACGTTGGTTTGTTCTGCCTTTGTGCGCAACTCTTTGTTTCTTGGTTGCCGACCATTTAGCTTTGTGGCAACGCACAATGTCGCTTGTGCGCGGCGACAATTGTCCGAAAATTGCCATAAATGGGTGAGAACCGTGCGAAAACCTTCTTTAATGATCAGTTCGATCCGAGGCCCCGAGCGAAAGCTAATCTGCAAATTTTTCTGTGCCTCGCGGCAAGGGCGAGTGGTCTTTATGGCTGTAGAAAAGGCCTTCGCAACGCCCTTTTGCTTCCTAGTCTCCCCCTCCGCTCTGACCGTTCCCCTCTTTTGATAACGGTGTCTGAACCCCTCCCTCTCTTTACTTTATATCCCCCTACCCCCATAGAGTTCTTGCACTGCAAACTTGACCTTCACGATGCACTCGCTCTCTGCTTTCCTGCTCTCTCTACCCGTAGTCGCACTTGCCGGCCATGGTGCGGGTGCACATCGCCGACACCACCATGCTCGCGCCGCAGACATTGCCGCGCGTCAGGCGCCGACGGCCTATACATTGGAGGATGATTATTCGGGACCGGACTTCTTCAAGTGCGTTGAATGGTCTTAATGACTATGTCATAAATCGACTTGTGTGTAGGGGTTGGACCTTCTTCACCGACCCGGATCCCACCAGTGGACAGGTCAACTACCTTAGCCAGTCAGATGCACAGGCGGCCGGTCTTGCCTTTGTCCAGTCCGACAACACCACCAAGATTGGTGTCGATTCAACCACTCAGCTCCAGCCTGGCCAGCCTCGTAACTCGTATGTGATTATTCAATTATGAGATAATTTTGCTGATGGGCATTAGCGTCCGTATCCAAACCGTGAAGACTTACGATAGCGGCCTCTTTATTGCTGACTTCTTCGCCATGCCCCATGGCTGTAGTGTATGGCCTGCGTACTGGACCGTTGGGGGTAACTGGCCGAATGATGGCGAGGTTGACATCATTGGTGAGTCGACTTAGCACGTCCAGATCTACCTGTCTAATGACCAGCTGTAGAGGGCGTAAACCAGAACGTTGATAATCAGATCACCCTCCACACCGGTCCCTCGTGCGTCATGAGTGAGTCGACCTCCATGCTCGGCAGTCTCGTAGGCAACACTTGCACGTCCTCGAACGGCGCGAATGCTGGCTGCGCGGTTGTTCAGAGCGGCAACAACAGCTTTGGCCACCCCTTCAACGAGATGGCCGGTGGTGTCTTTGCGCACCTCTGGACCAATGAGTCGATTAGCTTTTGGTTCTTCCCCCGCAACCAGATCCCTTCTGATATCACCTCGATGAACCCGAATCCCGACTCTTGGGGCACTCCTGTCGCGAACTTCCCCACTCAGTCCTCGTGTGATATCTCCCAGCACTTCGCGGGCCATCAGATTGTTCTCGACACCACCCTCTGTGGCGACTGGGCTGGCGCTGCGTTCAGCCAAGACGGCTGCCCAGGCTCGTGCTCTGATTTCGTTGCCGATCCGAGCAACTTCCAGAGTAAGCCCTCTCCGTTCCTATACGCGACAGAGCTGATTTCCTGCTGCAGCCGCTCAGTGGGCAATCTCGTCCATCCGGGTCTACCAGCCCTCAGGTTCGCAGTAAAGGGCGCATCCTTCTTCCTCAGACATCGTTTGCGGGCACACAAGCGGAGCTCGTCCACTTCACTTTCACTACTGCTGATATCCCGACGCTCGTTTCGCAGGCCCTGGCGTGCGCAGTAACGCCGGGTGTCTGCCTCGATACCTGACCGTGCTTGTAGCTCAATACCTGACTGTATATGTAGCTCAATACTTGGGGCAGAGCCCCGTGCACCCCTGGCGGTGGCCGTTCGGGGCTGTGTTCCCGAGCGCTGTGCATATTATTGTAAATTTATCACGCATATAACCTCTCGTTGACTCCGTCGCATGAAAAGTGTCCGTTTTTACAAGTTTGTGGATCTGGTGTCAAGCAGAACCGAAACCGGCACGCATGAGTGATCCAGCACACGGTTTGACAACGTTGATTTGTTCTACCTTTGCGCACAGCTCTTTGTTTCTTCGTTGCCGTCTACCGAGCTTTGTGGCAACGAGGCAATTGTCCGAAGACTGCTACAAACAGATTAAAAACCGCGCAAAAACCTTTTACAATGATTAGTTTGATCCGAGATCACAAGCGACAGATAATCTCAGACGGCAATTTTTGTGCCTTGCGGCACGGGCGAGTTGGCCTTCGTGATTGTAGAAAAAGGCCTTCGCGACGCCCTCTTGCTTCCCAGTCTCCCACTAGTCTGCCCTCCGCTCTGACCGTTTCCCTCTTTTTTATAACGGTGTCCGTTCCCTTCCCTCTCTTTACTTTATTACCCCCATAGAGTTCTTGCACTGCAAACTTGACCTTCACGATGCACTCGCTCTCTGCTTTCCTGCTCTCTCTACCCGTAGTCGCACTTGCCGGCCATGGTGCGGGTGTACATCGCCGACACCACCATGCTCGCGTCGCGGGCATCGCCGCGCGTCAGACACCGACGGCCTATACATTGGAGGATGATTATTCGGGACCGGACTTCTTCAAGTGCGTTGAATGATCTTGATGACTATGTCATAAACCGACTTGCGTGTAGGGGTTGGACCTTCTTCACCGACCCGGATCCCACCAGTGGACAGGTCAACTACCTTAGCCAGTCAGATGCACAGGCGGCCGGTCTTGCCTTTGTCCAGTCCAACAACATTACCAAGATTGGTGTCGATTCAACCACTCAGCTCCAGCCTGGCCAGCCTCGTAACTCGTATGTGATCCATCGATCATGTGGGATGGTTTTGCTGACACGGGTATCAGTGTCCGTATTGCAACCACGAAGACCTATGACAGTGGCCTCTTTATTGCTGACTTCCAGGCTATGCCCTACGGCTGTAGTGTATGGCCTGCGTACTGGACTGTTGGGGGTAACTGGCCGAATGATGGCGAGGTTGACATCATTGGTGAGTCGACTTAGCACGTCCAGATCTACCTGTCTAATGACCAGCTGCAGAGGGCGTTAACTTGAACGTCGACAATCAGATCACCCTCCATACCGGCCCCTCGTGTCTCATGAATGAGGCGACTACTATGCTCGGCAGTCTCGTAGGCAACACTTGCACGTCCTCGAACGGCGCGAATGCTGGCTGCGCGGTTGTTCAGAGCGGCAACAACAGTTTCGGCCAGCCCTTCAACCAGATGGGAGGCGGTGTTTTCGCGCATTCCTGGACCAATGAGTCGATTAGCTTTTGGTTCTTCCCCCGCAACCAGGTCCCTTCTGATATCACCTCGATGAACCCGAATCCCGACTCTTGGGGCACTCCCGTTGCGAACTTCCCCACTCAGTCCTCGTGCGACCTCTCCCAGCACTTCACCGGTCACCAGATTGTTCTCGACACCACCCTCTGTGGCGACTGGGCTGGCGCTGCGTTCAGCCAAGACGGCTGCCCAGGCTCGTGCTCCAACTTCGTTGCCGATCCGAGCAACTTCCAGAGTAAGTTCTCCCTTCTTCGTTCTCGCACGCGGCAGAAAACTAATTTCCTGCTGCAGACGCTCAGTGGGCAATCTCGTCCATCCGGGTCTACCAGCCCTCAGGTTCGCAGTAAAGGGCGCATCCTTCTCCCTCGGACACCGTTGGCGGGCACACAAGCGGAGCTCGTCCACCTCACTTTTCAATACTGCTGATATCCCGACACTCGTTTCATGGCCCTGGCGTGCGCAGTAACGCCGGGTGTCTGACCCGATTCCTGGTTGTGCTGTAGTTCTGTACTTGGGGCAGAGCCCCGTGCGCCCCTGGTGGTGGTCGCCCGGGGCTGTGTCCCCGAGCGCTGTGCATATATTTGTTACTACGCATATATCTTCTCGTTAACGTCGCATGAATAGCATTCATTTAGATAAGTTCATGGTTGCGATGTGAGGCAGAACTGGAAGGTTATAAGATGGCTCAGTAAGCACAGGTGAGGAGCCGAACTACACGAGTCACGTCTCGTACTTGGAGTTGGAATTCTGGAATCACGCACGATTGATGACAGCCCCGCTTTCACTGCTCCATGATACTTTCATATACCGCAATCGTTGCCGTTGTGATGAGGTAGGTCCAAATTCGGCGCATGAAGAGCTGGGGCGGGACATCGTTGTTGCAGCCGGCACTACGTGTCTAATACATGGCCCCAGCCGCACTTTGCAAAACTTTTATCCACTGAATTTTTCTCAGTTCCCCTCTATTTTTAATGGTACATCATGCGCGTTACTCAAGCCACAGGCGTGGTTAGACATTGAATAATACTCAGAGGTGTGGAAAATTGGATGTCACCGTGGACTGTTGCCAAAGCGGCCAAATCTCTGGGATAAAGCATATGGAATAAATCTTGCGAAGCTGAAGTGCCAAGGAACGCCATTAGCAACCTCCACCGCCTCCTCATCCACCGCACCCGCCGCACCCTCCTCCACCGCACCCTCCTCCTCCTCCACCGCACCCTCCTCCTCCTCCTCCTTCACCGCCACCACCTCCTCCGCACCCTCCGCCTCCTCCTACACCGCCTCCACCGCCTCCACCGCCTCCACCTCCTCCGCACCCTCCGCCTCCTCCACACCCGGCACTAGCTCTACCTCCGCTAGCTCCGCCGCCGCCGCCGCTTCCTCCTCCGCCACAGCCGCCGCCATCACCACTTCTGCTACCACCTCCTCCGCCACCACTTGATCCGGCACCCTGCGAGAACCGTCAATAATCAATAGATACCGTCTGCGGCGCTAATGAGCGTAAACTCACGACTGCACTTCCCGCGCCGCCGCCGCCAGTGGGCCCGGTGCCACCGAAACCGCCGCACCCGGACGCAGAGGCAACGCAGCCGATGACCGGCGGCGCATAGAACGGGACTGGGTACAGGAACGCGATCTGGTGGCCGTCGTACGCCGGCCGCACCGCAGCGGCGTCCATCTTGCCGTCGCGCACCAACTTCTCGTCGCGCTGCCGCCGGCGCTGGACCTTCTCCTCGCGGACCCTACGTTTCTGGCCTGCGACCGCCGCGTGGTCCTCGCCGAGCGGTGCAAGCGAGACCATGTTGTGCTCACTCGCGTGCGTCGCGCCGAGTGCGTCCGCGCGCCGCGGCGGCATGAGCGCGGCCGGTGCGGACGAGCTCAGGCTCAGTCGGTGCTTCAGCGGCGCCAGCCGCTGCCCGAGCGTGTCCCCTGGCAGCGGGCACCCGCAGTGCGTGTACGGAACCTGGAACCGTTGCTGCCACGCGCGGCAAGTGATGTCGAAGGACGTCGCCAGGTGGTTCTCCTCGACGCGGTCGTCGCTGTCAAGGAGCGCACTTTAGGCGAGGGTTCGACGAGTGGTACGAAGGCGGACTCACTGGTCAACGAAACGCTTAACAAGCTGAATGCAATCGTTCTGATAGAGCTCGGCTTTCATCTGGTGCGTATGCCAGGCAAGGTCGATGTCCAAGGTGGGCACGAAGAACGATCCCGGAGAAGAGGACATCAAGTCGAGGAAACTAATTAACTCGCCATCAGCAATGAATAGCATCAACTGCGGGAGCACTCACGCGTGATATCTGGCGATAGCATGCTGTAGCACTACCTCGTCCTCAGGCCCGTCAAATGCCCCTGATTCTGTCCAACCAAACCCAGTCATCTTGTCGATGAAGGAGCATTGCCGGATGACTGCACCGACAAGCTCTACAGAGAACGGACGATCATCGATGTATGCACTCATCACCCTCTTCGACCTGAACCAACAAGCATTGAGCATGATCTCGATCTCTCATCGTCATTCCCAAGACCGACCTCTGCATGCCGTTGGCGAAAACGGCAGCTTGCTGCTTCTGAAAGTTCTCCATGCTGTATCCGACCTTGGTCGTGATCGCCTTGGCCCACTCATCCTTGGATGCCGCGCCCTCAGGCGGCTTGAACACGATGTGCAGCTTCGCCTTCAGAAGGGCCGCGACACTGTCGGCAGTCGGCTGCGTTATCGTCCGGAGCGTGCCCGCCATGTACACGCCATATCCATAGCGCTTCACGTCATCAGTATTACGCGGGTCGAGAGTGACGTCGCGCGCATATTTCAAGACAGCAAGACTCTCTTTCGTTGCTGCGAAGCCACAGGATGGGCATTTCGAGATGAACTTGGATTGAAGGTACCCCGTGCCATCCTGGGTGACGAAGGCTACAACCCGAAGAGTCAGCTGAAAGGAAGATGTAATGTAGAATAGACAGTGTGCATACGCGCAGCATACTCCGCGACACAGCTCGGGCAGACGACAATGCGCTCAGCCATCACGGCCGCGGCCGCGATCGGGTCGAATGGAGTACCGTATTGCTTGAGCCATGAATCCCTTCTCTCTGGAGAAGGTTCATAGGTACTGATGTCTCCTACTTTAACCTGGGGTGTACATGTCAGCTGTTGTAGGGCTCTAAGCGGAACTTGTACTCACGATAGAAGTCAGGAGGCGGTCTTTGATCGCCCTGAGCGAGCGCAATATAAGAATGCGGGTAGTGTCCTCAGCATACCACCTAAGGACAACTGGTTCGGAACGGCAGACAAGAAGATTAGTAAACACTAGGACTTACGTTGGGTTAAGTGTGTAGGCATGCCACACCATCAGCACGTCAATTGGCGGCATCTCTCGTTCTACCCAGGTGTCTAGCGAGCTGTAAGCTGTCATGGCTTGAACCCAGCTCTGGAACCTATACGACGGAATCAGCCATTCGCGTAGCTAACGAAGTGAGCATGGACACACCTGTCGACTGCAAGTCCAACAAACCAGGCCCAGCGCTGCGGCGGAGTCCATGTGTGCACGACTGTGGGCCATTCTGCAATCTTGCCGTCTTCGACGGCTGTTCTCAGGTTTTTGAGAGCACGCAGAAGACAGAGATGTGCCTTCAATTCCTGTATCTGGACCAGAGGGCTCGTCAACTTCTGTGTCCCTACGGTGTAGGCAGCAGGCGGTTGGTACGCGGGCGGCTGGTCGGCAGTAGCTGGAGGTCGGGCTGAGGAATATGCGGGAGGCTGGCCAGAGTCGGCAGCCTTATCATAGCTCTCCCTGGAGTCCGTCTTGAGACTCTGGCTCAAGGAGCGACTCAGGCTTTTAAGACAGAGATATCGGGAGCGCTGCGTACACAGCCCTACCTGTTAGACTTTGACACCATAGCAGCCACATGGTATAAGGAAATGAGGAGTATCAAGATGTATGACAGGCGTGGTGGCCGCCAGGGTGACCTGCCCGCACAAGGTGACTTCACCGCCTGTGTCGTACATCGTCGGTATACCGTGTACCTGTAGCTTTCTAATTAAGTAATTTGCTTCCCTCGATGCGTGCACAGCGCTGTAGCGCGCTTGCTCAGTGATGCGTTCGCAGGTGGTCGAGGCGCCGCAAGGCAAGTAAGTGGCACGAAATCAGGCAAAACCGGACATTCCGGGCGAGACAGCGGCTCCATAAGAACCAAATAAATTCATTCGACTGTTTACACAAGCTCGGCTCGTTTAGAGCCGGCAAGGGCGACGGCGACGGTCCCAGGGGCAAGCGCGCGTCGACCGACGCTTGAGGCGCGCAAGGCGGGCGGGCACCGATCGCGATCTCGCAAGCTCGGACAACTCCGGCGGTCACAAGGGCGCCTAATGCTTCGGGCATGACCCCTAGCACTCCCCTAGCAACGGGCCGTGTAAGCAGCTCTCGGAGTCTCGGTCGCTGGAGCCAGGGCCAGCCGGTACCTCGGCGTAAACTCTATATCACCGTGGACTACTGCCAGAGCGGCCAATTTGCTTCAAGCGGTTCAGGTAGTCTGAATTCAGTCATAGTAAAAACAAGTGTATCTAGCAGCATCTAGCGTGAAATCTAAGAAAACGTATTACAACAACGCTATTCTAAGTTATCAGTATCAGTCATGCCCTAAGTCTAGTAAAAATCTATGGATCCATCAAAACTCTTTCGCGAACGGCACAGCAAGCCTTCATGCTCACTGCCCGTCCGCAAACCCATCGGTTGTGCCTCTGCGGTTCTCCACTTCGACTGAGTGGTCTTTGAATACGACCTGCACCTCAAGCGACAACGGCCGCTCGGCAGACGTGCACTCGATCTCGCGCACGCAGGGGAAGATATCCACTACGCTGCGGACAAAGGACCCAATGTCCTCTTCCGCAGGGGAAGTGCCGACGAACAGCCTCTCGAGGGTCTTCTGGCGGACGACGGATGTCTTATCCCCGGAGCGCGGGACGGCGGCGGTCTTGCAGCTGGAGACGTCAAGGGGAATCGTCAGAGTGCGCAGCGATGGGCAGCGCTTCGCGAGGGAGCGCAGGGCTTCCACGGTGACCTTCGGGACCCAGTTCTCCGCGTGTTCCTGCACGTCGGGAAGGGAGCCAAGGTTCAGATGCTCCAGGCGCGGCCACCAGCCGGCCATCTGGTCTATATCTTCATCAGTGAAGTCAGGAAGGAGCATCGCGTCTATGGTGAGGCGGTGGAGGGCGCGCAGCTTGCTGAGGGGCTGCAGGGTGTCTAATGCGAAACGGGTATCTGAGCTATCGGATTGGTCTAACATTATCTCCTCTGGGTCGAGGATCTGGTCTAGAGTAAGTTCTACGAGGGTATCGGCGGCCTTGACGGCGATAAGTGTAAAGGTGGGTTGCCAAGCGGAGGGACCTTGAGCAGGCTCCTCGGTCTCGAGGTAGAGCGACGTCAATGTACTAGGCGGGAGGACTTCGAGGATGGCGCAGATGAGTGAGCGCTGTGCGCGGATGCGCAGACTCCGAAGAGAAGCGAAAGGTTGGGAGACGTGTCGCGAGACGGCTTCCGAAAAGTCTCCGGCGTCGACGTGGCTGGCGTGCACGTAGATATCTTGGAGATTACTCAAGGATCCCAGTGCTGCCAGGGTGCGTGTGTTCAAGGTATTGCCTGCCAGTAACACGAGGGAGCGCAGCGATTGGAATGATGACATGATGTCGTTAAATGCCGTGGAGATGAGACCCTTGACGCGAAGAAAACGTAGTGACGTCTGAAGAGAAGGATTATTCTGAAGTACAGTAGACAGGCTATCGCTTGTGCGGATGGGAGATACAGCATCCCTAGTTCGTGTGCGTCGAAGATCTATCTCGAGCTCTTCCAAGGAAGAACACAAGAGATAGTCTGAAGGGATGGAGCAGCCGTGATCTTTGAGGATTATAGACTTGAGATTTGGTAGGGGCGCGTGGTCTCCACGAACCATCGGAAGTCGAGGTGCACGGCTGAAGAGAATGTGCTTCACTCTAGTAGCATAAAGATCGAACTCTTCGACGGACTGAAATGCCTCAGGTGTTGGATTAAGCACATCGAATGAGAGACAAAACCTGACGCACCTTTCCATCGGCCAAACGTTCGAGGGGATCCACACTATCCAGCTTCCGCCAAAGCCGATCCAAAGCCGGGTCCTTCCACGCTTTACAGCATCGCGCGAGTTGAGCGAGTGTCCGACGGTACTGGGGAGCAGGCCAGTCTGCACAGTGTTCCAAGACTACTTGAATAATTTCATCGATTAGAAGAGCGGAATGCATCATCAAGGTAGCGAGAATGAGGGAAAATGAAGGAAAGACCGAGAGGTGGCCGGTAGGGCGGTGGTGGAACGCCGCAGACTACCGCGCAGGTTGGGGAACCAGCCATCATGTTTTTTGTACACAGCGCGCGCTCATTGGTCCGGGGGAAATGGCGCATCAAAATGGCGCATCAATTTCGCGCATATTCTCACACCTTTGATTAGCTTTGATATCATGCGTGCGTAAAACTGGAACCGCTGGAATGTTGCTCTGAATGTTCTACGCCCATTTTGAAGACGAGCCATCGATGGGGAGCGGCTTGCGGTGAACCTCGACGACTTGCGGTTGCTCTCTCTCGATCGCAACAGTCAGGATGGCTACCTCCTCGCCCTCGCGTACGGAACGTGTCAGACGGGTGAGCAGCAGTTGTGTTTACCATCTAGGCTCCAAATTTATCCCTTGGTTAACGACCTACGATTTGTCAGCCCACTCTCAGGGTATCACGCCTGGATCCGTCATTCGGCAGCGACGACACTGCAGTGGACAGTGGTGTCACAGAGCACAATGAAGATGGATGGATAGATGAAGAAGCCGGTGATATCGAGCTACGACGGTCGCCCACCGCAACGAATCCACCATCAGGTCTACGGCCGAAATCTGGACATGCCGCCTCAGTAGTCAGCCGAGATTTCACGGTGCGTTTCTGTCTTTCGCGGGATTCTCGACAATCGCCTATCACAAGTATATCAGGAGCGAGGCCGTAAGCATTGCGATGTCTCAAGTCGCAGCAAAGGTTCGAGTAAGCGGGGGCGTGAGGTATGAGCCGTTATCTAAGGTTTATCTCCTTATTCATCGAATTGACATGCCGACGACAGGACCCTCGGGAGAAAAGCTCCAAGATTGCAACATGTTGGAAAAAATGCAAGAAAGTCCTGAGCAAGCACGACAAGTCGTTGATTGAAGGATGGAGGGAGGACGTCGATACTCTCCTTGTATTTGTAAGCAGCTCAGTTACAGTGTATACTGCCTTTTCCCTGACGTACACCCAGTCTGGTCTATTCTCTGCGGTTCTTACGGCCTTTGTCGTCGAATCGTACACCTTCTTGAAGCCTGACCCCGATGGCACTACGACGGACATCCTACGGGAAATGTTGGGTGAAGTGCGCAACATCCGTGCGGGAATAACGTCGCCTCCTGATTCGACGGCTGACTCCGAGTTCCCTTCCATCAACGACTTCCCTGCCAGCTTCGCCATACGCGTGAACGTCCTCTGGTTCACGAGTCTTGTCTTTGATCTTGCAGCGGCCACGATAGGCATTCTCGCCAAGCAATGGCTGCGAGATTACGTCCGTCACTCTGGCGGCTCGCCACGCGAGAAAGCAAGGATCCGTCAGCTGCGCCACAACGATTTCATGAAGTTCCACATGCACCAGGTTATCGCCTCCCTGCCCATTCTTCTTCAATGGTCCCTCGCCTTCTTCTTCATCGGCCTCGTTGACCTCCTGTGGAACCAAAACTTCATCGTCGCTGCAATTGTAACCTGCTTTGTCACGGCTTCACTTGCCTTCTTCGTTATTACGACCGTGCTTCCAGCGCTCCGGGCAGACTCTCCTCACCGCTCCCCCCAAGCGCTTGCGCTTTATCTCACCTTCGCGGCCACCGTTCGCCTGCTGCTCTGGCTCATGGCAGGCAATTATAAGGTCGACCACCGCAACGCGCTACTCATACCACTTAACCTCAAAGAGACGTGGTGGCACCGTCGCTGGCGGCTCTTCAAGAGCTGGCTCGCCCAGTTGTTGCATGAGCGTGCACATTCCAATTGGCACGATAGGGAGCAGTACATCATGCGCGGTCAAGAAGTCGAGCTAGATTGTCAGATTCTTGCTGGCGCGGACGCCTTGTACATGGACAACAAGATCCTCGAGGAGGTCATCAGGCCCTGTGTCGAAGAGATACCTGCCCCCGCAGCCACCCGCTGCGTAACGCAGATCGTTATGCACAGGGCACATGGTACTCTCGATGGAAAGCCGTTCTGGAAGCCCTCGAACGCTGCCGACGAAGGCATAGTTATCCTAGCGCACTTGACACTCGATGTACTCACTCGACTAGACGAAGCCAATGAACAGGACGCGATCAAGCTGCTCGACATTCTGAAGCGACTGTGCATTGCCATACGCTTTGAAGACGACCATCCCGTGTCGACGGACCTGTACGAGCGAGTGTACGGGACAGTTTCGCGGCTGTTGTCGATCAGCGATGCCGTGGGGAAAGACGGCTTTCATTTTCTGTACACTCTTCTCTCTCGCGCCAACGTTTCCGTCCGGATAGACACTACAGGTGAGCTCAACGGCCTCAACTCAGTGACTCCTGCTGAGCTGCCGGCATAGTCATCGCGAACATCGTCAATTTCGCCACCAGTACACGCGACGTCTTGCAAGACTCCGACACCTACTTCAGCGCATGCGTTATCGCACTTCACTTTGCCGCAAACTTGCCATCTGAAGGTCGGCATGAGTCATGGGCGCATCTTCAAACGTTGCTGCAGGAGATGGAGGAATACGTTCGGGTAACGCAGGCCCTACCTAGTCCGGGTCTACTCCACGCTATCAACATATACACGGAAAGAGATTCATCGCCGATGATGATGCATGTCAAGCACAAGTTCGAGCAGCTCTCCGAAATGGTTGCCTCGATCGTCAACAACATCGCTGCATCTGCAAACTCGATCTCGGAATCCGCGTAGTAGGGAAAGGCGGCCAGCTGCTGGACGTACCCCCGGCGGTGCCGAGGCTCGTCATGCTTCAGCTTTACCTGTTCGCCGTATCTCGTTATTTAATACATTTCACCGCACGCTATGCCCACTGCACCGTTCACGAGGTCTGCCGTAATGGGCTCCCACCGTTCTGCTGGGCGCTTCCCGGTTGTCTCCGGTAAAGTTATTTTGCAGCCTTGGCTAGCTCTCGACTTGCTCTCTCCCACCACTACTCCGCGCTTGCGATTGTCGCTCGCGTTCGTGCTCACGAGATGGCCAGTATCGTGGCGACTGTCCGCAAAAAGATCCATGATATCTTCGGTGCTGACGCGTTCTATTGGGCCGATCGTGCCTATGTTGTAGACTGGTAAGAGCCTTGTGGAGCACCTGCCTACGCTGTGTCTCAACATGCTTCGCGAATTCATATCCACCAGGGTAGTGATGTGTATGACTTGGCTAATGGCATGGTACATAAAGGAGCTACCTCCATTCGAGAGGGAGGTTGATCCGAACGATCCTGTGATAAACCACAAACACCATAAGAACACGTACGAATTCCTCGCACAGTACGCTGCACTCCCTCACACCTGCAGTTTCTAGGATAAGCGGTGATCTCAATATCATGGTCGCGGTACTTGTGCCTGCGGCGGTGGTTATTACCGTCGGCGTACTCAGAGTATCTGCCATAGAGATACACCACGGCCTGCTAAGTTTGCTAGCCGGAAGGTAGGCGGTCGTCATGAGTGGTAAGGCCTACCTGACTCCGCTCTAGCGGCTTCAACGAAGTAATAACGGAATTATTGAAGAACAGGGTGGGTAAGTGGACTGATGCGGCACTATTTCTATCGCGGCTCATAGGAACCACAGGGAGGCTTCGTCCTGATTTCTTGACCCGATGCCGCTGGAGCGATAGCGCCAGAGCTTGTACTGGGTAGGCGATGCTTATGGCGATGACGCGAACATTTCTTCTGATCATCTACGCCAGTAAAGCTAAGGATATCTCGGAGGGCCGACGGTCTTTTCCGTCGGGACATTCCTCGACAGCATTCGCTGGAATGGCGTTCCTGTCGCTATTCTTGGCCGGCCTGATGTGCACATGGTCTTTCGGACAGCCTGCACCTGCTCGGAGCCTTCTCAGCACCAGGCTAGGCCGACTGTGTGTCACATTGGCCCCTATTGCATATGCGACGTGGGTCGCCGTTTCCCGTCTAGAAGACTATGTAAGGCTGCCGTCTTGTCTGAGTAGACATCCTTGCCCATCTCATGCCAATTATTTCCAGAGACACCACAAGGAGGATGTAATAGTTGGAAGTCTTCTTGGGACATTTTCCGCTGCGGCTGCCTACCTCGTCTACTGGCCAAATCCGTTTACGCCTGATGCAAAACAGACCGTCCGAAATGTATCAAGAGCCCGAGTTGTGTATGGTCAAGACAGTACAAGAACGATGGATCGCGAATACGGATACGAATTAGCAGGAGTGGGCGAAGCTGAGCCACCAGTGTAGACGGAACATGATACCAGGTACTGCAGGAAATGCTGTCCATTCCGATTTTACTGCCCTATGATGTGTCTGCCTTGACGAACATCCAACCATCCCCAACCTTCTGCATCCGACCGCCCGTGCCTCCAGCGTTCCCATCATCCTCCGCCGAAAGCTGCTGAGTATTATATGATTCTTCTTCCTGCCAATCCGGATTCTCCTGCGGTATGCCGTACGCCGAGGGCGTATCATCGCCGCCGACCAGTGTCAACGCATCCGTGTTTTGGTCGAATCCTCTTCCTCGGCCCCTCGCTCCGTCGCGTCCGTTCCCGTGCCCATGCCCATGACCATGCCCATAGGAATCTCCATAACCTCTCCCCTTCCCTCTACCTCTTCCATGCCACCCCTCATTGTGATCTCCCCAACTCTGTTCCTGCCCACCCCATTGTCCGCTTTGCTGCATACTGTATTGGCCGCCCATGGGGTACGGGGCACCATTCATACTCGCAGTGAGCATTTGCACATACTGCCAGAGCTCCTCCTGCGACGGTAAATATCCGTTTGTTACATTCCAGGCCTTTCCCAGCGCTTCCCATGACACAGGAGCGGACATATCGAAAGTGGTCCAATCGAATGTGTCGAGTCCGCCGCTTACGCCCGGCTGGGCGGCACTGTCCACGGTAGGGATGGGAGCCCCAGCAGTCGGGGGCATAGCCCGGGCGGGGAGACCGCCTGGCGCAGGGTTAGTTGTAGATAGTGTAGGTATCGGAGCCGGCTCGGCTGGCGGAGGGGATAATTCGGAGGCGTGCTGCTCGGCCTCAGGCGCTGAAGTGGCCGCGTCAGGAGATGAGGGTCTGATGTCTCGCCCGAACTCGTCTTTTCCGGCAATGCCGGCGGCGGCGGGAGGCGAGAGATGCATAGGACTGCGTGCGCGATCGTGCGGCGGGCTGTGTGGCCGGTTTCCGTTCCTGGCCGCAGGGCTGCGTGACCGATTTTGTGGGTTCCTGCCCTGAGGTGCATCCCATCTGTTCTCCCTACTCCTGTTTAGGTGCTGGTCGCGTTCGCCGGGACGCCCGCGACCACGACCTCTGAAGCCGCCTCTGGGGCCGCCCCTGAAGTCGCCTCTGTAGGGCTCGCTTCTGTGATCACCTCTCGGGTCGTTTCTGTAACCGTCTCTCGGGGGGCCTCTGAAGTCGCCCCTTGGGTCACGACGATAGTCTCTACCACGCTGCTGCTGCTGAGGGCCGTTTGTGTACTTGTGGTCATATTGCGTCTCTCTAGGTGCAGCGAAACCGTTACTTTCATCTCGATAAGGATGGGACTGAGATGGACCTCCGTACGGAGGTGCTACAGGAACTGCATTCGCAGGAGCCGCTGACGGCACTAACGAAGGTACTGGAACGGGCTGCGAGGCAGGGACATTCCCCGCATTTGCCACCTGTGTCAACTGCTGAAAGAGGGCCAAATGTCTCGAATCTAGCTGGGGCGCCGCCGCGCCGAGGGCAGGCACAGAGACTGTGTGACCTACGGCGGTGTTTGGTGCTGTTTGTCTGGTCGGGCGTGAGCACACAGGGGAAACGGTCATCCAGACGTAGGCACTCACCCAGTCCCTGTGGCAGCAACGACCTGACTGAGCATCGCGAGTAGCTGTGACTGCACGGCGTTGGTCGACGGCGGCGGCGCGACGGGTGGTGTTGTGGAGGCGGGAGGCGCAACCCCTTGTGGCACTGATGTCGCTGGTGTAGCCGCATGGGCGCGCGGGACTGCAGAAGCTATGCCCGAGGGTGATTGTTCTTTGGTGGGCTCTGAACGCAGACAAGATTACATTTCAGTTCACATCTCACATTCAGACCCTCGATGGGGGAAACAAGTGGAATTGCACGGATGGAGGGATACTTAGCGAACAATGTTAGAACATGATAAGCACCTTTTTCTGCCTCTGCAAACAGCTTCTGCAACCGCGACAATACATCGGACGGGAATGTGTGGCCTTTGACCCAGATGTCCAGGACTTTCTTCGTCTTTTCCTGTAGTAGTAAGAAGGGAACGACATTGTTAGAACCTTTGACATGACTATGGACTAGAAAGTACAGCGAGCCTGCATAAATCACGTGACAAGACGCGCTCTGAGGCATTCGTGAAGCGCAGGGATCAAACAGTTCATCCGCAGACATGCTGCTTTGAGCTGTGCGGTCAGTATAAGATAGCAGCTAAGGTCTCGTACGTCCATGGGGCTACGCAGGCCCATGTGGGTGGGCTTGCACGCATTCAATCTTGTCCAGAGAACGCAGTCAGTACGAAGAATGAAATGCAAGCTAACCTTTGCTTCCAGATGGTCCGTTCTGAGCATGTCCTTGAAAAGGCCATCAAGGACCCCCTCGATCTTTAGAAGGAAAGTGGCACAGTTGCCCGGCTCCGTGTTTAAGTCACCGGTCAGACTGTGCTTGTTCGCGTAGCTGCGCGCTGCACGCGCAAGCGCATCGAAAGTGTACAGGCTGTTTATCTTCGATGCCGGCGACAACGACTTGTGCGTTCGATACAAGATGGACACCAACTGCGTGTCGCTCTAACGGGGCCGCACAAGAGTCAGTAAGCATTACAGCGCGAAGACTCAGACGACACACCTTCATCGTTTTCATCGCAATCTCAGTCAACTCCTTCATCTTCGACGCTGACAGTCGTTTGGCACGGACCACCTCCTTAAGTGTGCTCTCGAATGCCTGCATGCGCCGTTGGTCGTCAGCTCTGGCACCTGGCGCATCGGTAAGTCATGCTTACCTCAGTCGACGCCATCTTGCATCGGTATTCCTCGATTAAAAGTTTTTAAACAAGGGGCCTTACAAAGGGAAACCCGGAGACGGTGAACGCAGTGAAGGGAGGAGGAGTGTTTGGCGCTATTTGCCTGTTGGGCCTGTGCGTTTAGAGCTGTCCAGAAAAGGCAAATCTCCGTCGTTCTCAGCTGGAGGGTCGTACTGCGTACTCCGAGTAAACTAACGTCACCATGCGTTACAAAAGCCTTCCTGAAAATGCTGGCAAACAGTGGCCCAGGCTCTGGAGATGTGCCTACGACTTTTTGCTAGATGCTGCGAAGTGCGGGGATTCATCAGGCAGCGATGGAATGCATGCTAGGGTCATCATGGCAATTGCTCCTGTGCTTGCTGTCAGCATCTAGGGTCGCGAGTAACACGGTCACGCCAGGAATATGCAGTTTACTCCGAGAACGCTAGTTACATACTTTTCTGTGGGGTGCTGGCGTTCCGCCTTTCGGAAGGGGAATGCATCATGCATCAACACAACTCTCCACCGGATTCATTCGCACAGGTTCTGGAGGAGCAGACCTTTGGCGACCTTAAGCCTGCGGATGAATATTTGATGAATCCTTGATGTTCTCCATTCCCCCATATCATGTGGCTGCTATAGTGTCAAAGCCTAATAGGCGGAAGCGCTCTCGATACCTCTGTCTTAAAAGCCTGAGTCGGACCTTGAGGATGGCTATCGCTCCTTGAGCCAGAGACTCACGATGGACTCCGAGGAGAGTTATGACAAGGCCGCCGACTCTGGCCAGCCTCCCGCATATTCCTCAGCCCGAGCTCCAGCTACTGCCGACCAGCCTCCGCCCGCGTACCAACCGCCTGCTGCCTACACCGTAGGGACACAGAAGTTGACGAGCCCTCTGGTCCAGATACAGGAATTGAAGGCACATCTCTGTCTTCTGCGTGCTCTCAAAAACCTGAGGACGGTCGTCGAAGACGGCAAGATTGCAGAATGGCCCACAGTCGTGCACACATGGACTCCGCCGCAGCGCTGGGCCTGGTTTGTTGGACTTGCAGTTGACAGGTGTGTCTATGCTCACTTCGTTAGCTACGCGAATGGCTGATTCGCGTCGTATAGGTTCCAGAGCTGGGTTCAAGCCATGACAGCTTACAGCTCGCTAGACACCTGGGTAGAACGAGAGATGCCGCCAATTGACGTGCTGATGGTGTGGCATGCCTACACACTTAACCCAACGTAAGCCTTGGTGTTTACTAATCTTCTTGTCTGCTGGTCTGAGCCAGCTGCCCTTAGGTGGTATGCTGAGGACACTACCCGCATTCTTATATTGCGCTCGCTTAGGGCGATCAAAGACCGCCTCCTGACTTCTATCGTGAGTACAAGTTCCGCTTAGAGCCCTACAACAGCTGACATGTACACCCCAGGTTAAAGTAGGAGACATCAGTACCTATGAGCCTTCTCCAGAGAGAAGGGATTCATGGCTCAAGCAATACGGTACTCCATTCGACCCGATCGCGGCCGCGGCCGTGATGGCTGAGCGCATTGTCGTCTGCCCGAGCTGTGTCGCGGAGTATGCTGCGCGTATGCACACTGTCTATTCTACATTACATCTTCCTTTCAGCTGACTCTTCGGGTTGTAGCCTTCGTCACCCAGGATGGCACGGGGTACCTGCAATCCAAGTTCATCTCGAAATGCCCATCCTGTGGCTTCGCAGCAACGAAAGAGAGTCTTGCTGTCTTGAAATATGCGCGCGACGTCACTCTCGACCCGCGTAGTACTAACGATGTACAGCGCTACGGATATGGCGTGTACATGGCGGGCACGCTCCGGACGATAACGCAGCCGACTGCCGACAGTGTCGCGGCCCTTCTGAAGGCGAAGCTGCACATCGTGTTCAAGCCGCCTGAGGGCGCGGCATCCAAGGATGAGTGGGCCAAGGCGATCACGACCAAGGTCGGATACAGTATGGAGAACCTTCAGAAGCAGCAAGCCGCCGTGTTCGCCAACGGCATGCGGAGGTCGGTCTTTGGGATGGCAATAAGAGATCGAGTACATGCTCAATGCTTGTTGGTTCAGGTCGAAGAGGGTGATGAGTGCATACATCGATGATCGTCCGTTCTCTGTAGAGCTTGTCGGTGCAGTCATCCGGCAATGCTCCTTCATCGACAAGATGACTGGGTTTGGTTGGACAGAATCAGGGGCATTTGACGGGCCTGAGGACGAGGTAGTGCTACAGCATGCTATCGCCAGATATCACGCGTGAGTGCTCCCGCAGTTGATACTATACATTGCTGATGGCGAGTTAATTAGTTTCCTCGACTTGATGTCATCTTCTCCGGGATCGTTCTTCGTGCCCACCTTGGACATCGACCTCGCCTGGCACACGCACCAGATGAAGGCTGAGCTCTATCAGAACGATTGCATTCAGCTTATTCAGCGTTTCGTTGACCAGTGAGTCCGCCTTCGTACCACTCGTCGAACCCTCGCATAACGTGCGCTTTTTGGCAGCGACGACCGCGTCGAGGAGAATCACCTGGCGACGTCCTTCGACATCACTTGCCGCGCGTGGCAGCAACGGTTCCAGGTTCCGTACACGCACTGCGGGTGCCCGTTGCCAGGGGACACACTTGGGCAGCGGCTGGCGCGGCTGAAGCACCGACTGAGCCTGAGCTCGTCCGCACCGGCCGCGCTCATGCCGCCGCGGCGCGCGGACGCACTCGGCGCGACGCACGCGAGCGAACACAACATGGTCTCGGTCGCACCGCTCGGCGAGGACCACGCGGCGGTCGCAGGCCAGAAACGTAGGGTCCGCGAGGAGAAGGTCCAGCGCCGGCGGCAGCGCGACGAGAAGCTGGTGCGGGACGGCAAGATGAACCCCGCGGCGGTGCGGCCGGCGTACGACGGCCACCAGATCGCGTTCCTCTATCCCGTGCCGTTCTATGCGCCGCCGGTCATCGGCTGCGTCGCCTCTGCGGCCGGGTGCGGCGGTTTCGGTGGTTTCGGTGGCATCGGGCCCACTGGGGGCGGCGGCATGGCGGGATGTGCAGTCGTGAGTTTACGTTCATTGGTACAGCAGACGATACTCATTGATAATTGACGGGTTCTTGTAGGGTGCCGGATCTTGTGGCGGAGGAGGTTGTGGCGGTGGTTGTGGCGGAGGAGGAGGTTGTGGCGGGGGCGGAGGTTGTGGAGGTGGAGCTAGTGCCGGGTGTGGAGGAGGCGGAGGCGGGGGCGGAGGGTGTGGTGGAGGGGGCGGAGGAGGAGGGTGCGGTGGCGGAGGAGGAGGCGGCGGGGGTTGCTAATGGCGTTCCTTGACAGTTCGGCTTCGCAGGGCTCACTCCGTATGCTTTATCCCAGAGGTTGCTTGTACAAGTATAATGTAATAATACGATGCACAGACTTGAAGCTTGCAAATCCGGCCCATTGCATCGATGATTTAGACAATACCTGGTACTTCAAGCAGGTATGGGGCTGTGAGCACGTCGAGTAGGAAGGTACGTGCCACAGTCGTGGTAAAGGCATATGCATCTAATAGCGTCCGGAGTCCACTTTTACCGGAGCAAAGTACATCATTTGTTCATGCGCAAATCTTTGTACGATTGTCCGCAAATGCGGCGTAAACCTTAAGTGCGACCGTACCGGAACGCGCGGAGAAAAGTACAAATCGATTTCGTCGCAAACTGCGGAGGTTGACTTGGACGGGCAACAGCTGACAGCAGCGGGTCACGATTCAGGCCGTGGAGTCCGGCTCACGTCGGATGCAGCAGGTTGGTGTTCGTCGAGCACTGCCAAGGTGGAGAGCCAGGCTGTTCAAACATATCCACCTGTGTCAGACTTGGCGCTAGATGAAGACGGCCGGGGTTCTAAGGCCCAGGCAAATATCAGATATTCCTAATAGGCGGAACAAGTACTGTAGTCCCAGCAAGCACCCATAACGTCCAGAGAAAGAAGAGAAAGAAAAGTCTAAGCCTACTCGAGCGACAGAATCCCGCGTGCCTCAAGTTGTGGCAGCTTCCCCTTGAGAAACAACTTCGTCCTCTTGTGGTGCTGCTCGAGGTAGTCCCAGAGGTCATCTGACGAGAAGTAAAAGCTCTGTGCCTCGCACGAGAGCATGACGCCCGTGGATTCGCTCCGGATGCGCACATCCTTGAGCGTCTTGAATGTCGAGCCCGCGAGGAGACTGTCGAGGGCGGCCCACTCAACGCCTGCGAGCCGCGACTCGAGCGCTTCGAGGTGCGACTTGTGCACGACTGTCAGGTCGCGCACGGACGGCGGGAGCTGCGGAAGGAGGAGCTGCAGCAGCGACCACGTGCAGCGCGATTGTGCCGAACAGGTGTCGTCGGCGGGGAGGTCGACCTCGAACGAATGCAACGCGGAAAACGAGTGCAGCTGCAGGCTTGACAGCTGCGACTGGGATGCTGCGAGGCGTTAGATTAGCATGAGAAAGCGACACAGTGAGAGCTGTTGTGGCACGTACATTCATCCACAATGAGATATCTGTTGAACTTGAGGCTCAGCTGGCGCAGGTGCGGCGACACGTCCTCGAGGAAGTCCTGGAGCTCGGGCCAGGCGTTGAAATGCTCGAACGACAGCGACAGCGACTGCAGCGCAGAGACGTCTACGCGCTGCTGAATGGTCGGTAGGAAGCAGCGGAGCATGTTGTACGTGCTACCCGAGCCGACGATGAGGTGCTGCAGGGTCGGAGGCGTGGGTACGCGCACAGCAGCGGTGTCGCTGCGGTCAATGCCGAACGTCCAGAAGACGCTCTCGACGTGGAGCGTGCCGAGCGTGGAGAACAAGCAGACGGTATCGAAAAGCACCTCAGGTGTCGTGAAGACCTTGCGCATAGACAGCTTCTCGAGCGACGACGTTGCGTGCGCTGGTAGCGCGCGTGGCGCGTCTGTTGCACGCGTCGCGTCGCTCCACCAGACGCCCTCGAGGTTGAGGGCGCACAGACCCGGAAGACGGGCGATACATGCCGCGATAGAGGCTGTGGTGACGAGCAACTGCGCATCGTAGGTGATATCCTTGCTCGTCCCACCCCCACAGAGCGACAGATCACGGACAGATGCAGCGATGCGCTGTGGTGCGGATCCAAGAAAGTCGGTGAAGGACTCGACGGTGGCTGGGTGCTTGACGCAGATGGTTCGAAAGAGGTGGTACTGGGCGGTGACGCGCCAGTCGTGGCAGACGAGCGAGCACGAGACCAGACTGGGCTTGTCGTCGAAAAGGAAGTCGATAATGTAGTCGTGCAGCTCAGGGGGGAGTGTTGCGTTGAGACCCATGATTGGGGTGCTATAGTTGCGTGCATCGCACAGCAAGACCCTCGTCTATATGTATGGGGCAGTCTGTGGGGTGTTTGTGTCCGTGATTCCAGCTCGGGCTAGTGTATCTCTGTGCCGAAGAGGGTGTCACTTCTAACCTGTTGCGAGCTGAAAGCGGTTCCAACATCACCGCCCTGCGGCGAGAGCGACCTTCGGAGAGACAGCCTTAACTCCACGACACACAGGCACTCCGACAACGTGTTCGGTCTTTGAGTTCATCTTGAGGTAATGAAGGGCGAGAGAAGAAACCGACCCCGCGCGGCGCCCGGACACTGGGGTGGCGTCGACAGGGGCGGCTACGCGTCACAGTTTCAGCAAGTTTGATATCACCGCGCAATATTTCGCGCGTTGCAACCCGCAAGTATTTCATCCGTGATGTGGTTTTAGCTCGACACTACGCAGCTCTACGCATGCGAAATTTGGACGATCCGGTGGTTCTCGGCATTTCTGACGCTTCGGGCCCCGTTCGACTATTGCCACCAAGTCTTTCTTCTTTCTCTCTGTTTGTGAGTTAAACTTACCTGTAAGCTTTTCACCATAGGGTTCTCGGGTATGCTGTCCCAGCTATTGCATAACCTCAAAGTTTGAGTGAACCGAGGTGCTGTGCACAGCGTACGCGCCCGGGCCCCGCGCGCTTGTCCCTGCAGCACGAGATGCACGCCACCTTCTATTGTGCCACCTACTAACAGCTTGCGCCACAAGGCCAATGAAAATCTCCGTCGGGCGACAGCTAGATCGACTACACTGTAGGTGCAGGAGCCCAGAGAGATCGTGAGTGTGCCAGAGCTAGCTTCGTCCCTCTGGCAGCCCACACTCCTCCTTGCCGTGACCCCAAGTACCTGCCGAACTCACATCAACGCTGACCGGGGCCTCTCCAAGAAAGCCTTCATCTCCTCTTCTCTGATACGGCTTTGAATCAGACGAAGTGCAACCTGGTGTGCTAACACAGGGAAGCCATCAGCAAGGCCCGCCTCCGGTCCTCGACATTGACCTCCCGGGTCACAACTCACGCCTCTCGACCTCTTTGACGGACTTAAGATAGTATGCGCGTGCAGGTGTGCCTATATCTGCACCTGAGGAGCAGATAGCAGCTATTCACCGGCTTCGGTGAGCTGCCCGCGTCCTTCTGGCGTGTATTTCACTTCATGTAGAGTGTGGAACAAAGATAGTCTGCATGCCCAGGAATGCGGCCAACACGACTGAAGTTGTCCTTTCCAGGCTGTAACAGCTCCTGTAAGCGGACCCAGGGTCGATGCCTGCTTCTTCCAAGTCGTGAGCATGTCTTATGCTATTAATTACACGTTCACGCCGTGCTTCAGCGGTCTTATGGAAACAAGTTTTGCAGGCTTCGTAGACTCGTTGCCGTTTCAGAATGTTGCTCACGTTCCATTCCATTCACTCTTATCTTTCTAGGCAGATGTCAACACTCCCGTGGAATGCGTGGTACAATATCCGATTGACATGTGATGGAAACATGCGATACAGACATCATTGGTCACAGAGAGCAGGAATGCCCATCGAACAACAATGAGCCTTACAGGGCCGGATGAGCTTGCTTCCCTATCTGTCATTATTAGGATTTCGTTAACTTGTCACCACCATTGTGTCTCTAGGAACTTCTTTAAGGTGTTTCACGTCCCTATCCCTTGAGCTACCGGGCTTGAACCATACGAAGCATAGTCCGTTGTAGTCGAACAAAGACCCAAGGCAGGGCGCGTTTATTTACGATTTTCTGCGCTGGCCTTCGGGCCTAGGACCTGCAGACCGTCGAGCGAGTACTCCCGGAACTTGTCGTCTCAGTCTCCTCGACCGAGTCGGGGGAGTTGACATCCACGAGCTCGTCTATTATACTATGGGCGCCCGACTCTTGAAGAGCAGATATCGATGCTAGCCGTTTGTGAGCTGCCGTGGGGGTTGACGTCCTTCGGGCATGCATTCCACATCTCACACGCAGGATTCTATCCTCGAGTAGATTTGCGTTTTCTTTTACTGTCGTTTCATGCTTCATGGGCCGTCGTCAGAACTCAATACCGAAGTTAGTCCAGAGGTTGTCTTCGAGTTTGTGCTCGAGAATAGACCGCCGTGTTTCTATGCACTTAAGTAGTCGTGTTGCCTGATCATAGAATGTAACTCTTTCTGAGTATCTTATTCAGGGATGCAATGACCTGTGACAGTGTTCGCCACACGATACTACATGTACTAGACTATCGCTAGCCGCAAACCATGGATGGCCTAGCAGCTAGACTGATCCAAATTGCCGCTGGTCTCTAGCTTCTGCTGACGTTGTTTCGCCAGCCGAGTTCGAAGCTTCTCGAGAAACGCCTTCTTACCCTCTAATCCTACGTGGTACGTCACCTCTCCATCCCTCCAGCCGCCGGTGTTGAACCACAGGAAGCATAGTCCACTGTAATCGAACAGGGAAGCCCACGGCATGGCTTGCTCCTGATCGTCGAATTCTGTGTCGAAGACCTGCAAATCGTTGAGCAGATATTCCCGAAACTTGCGCTTCTCGGTCTCCTCGACAGAGAAGGGAGAATCGACGCGCACGAGCTCATCGAGTATATACATGGCCCTGCATTTGAAGAACAAGTACCAGCCATCTGCGAGCTTCGGCGGACTGCCGACATCTTTCTGGCGCGCGTTCCATTTTTCGCGCTGTGCCTGATCCCAGTGCACAAAGCTGGTCTGCACGCCCGGAAATGGGAGCGACTGAAAGTCGTCTGGATGGCGATCCAGAAGCCAGTTGCTGATCCGTTTCGAGGCATTTGTCGAGCTTTCAGATACCTTCCACCACCCTTCCCAGTCGTAGTCTTCCTTCTTGGTGTTGCGGAAACGGTCGATGAGATGGAGGACGTCGATGTCGTTGCGACGGGCGAACGACTCGGCGACGTCAACACTGACGAGGTAACCACCAACGCAGTAACCGCGGAACGCGGGGTCAATGTCCGCCTCTTCGAAAAGCATGCCCGCTAGAAAGCGAGCATACGTGAGCACAGTGTGATGTTGGCGCGGCGCAGGTATAAGTTACGAATAGACGACGGGTTCAAGTTGTCAGGTGTGGCTGAACACTAGTGAACGTGCACGACAAGTTGAAGGTAGTTTGAGCCTAATCTCGTACTCTTTCTTCTGGAAGGTGCTCAACGAGTTGTTATGCTCCGTTTGTTATATGGCTTACAGTGTTGATAACGGGACCGGAATGTCTGGAACCGAGACTAGTACCACCATCAGACCCCCTCATCATCGTCTTATCCGACTTATGATAGGCACGTGGCGCGCGGTAGTCGCGGGCGCTTGGTGCAGTTCATCACTTGTTCAAAACACAACGATAAATGTCGGAAGAATGGCTATACCATACCTAGAGTTCAAACGTTCAAAGGCCATCGTCGTCGTCGCCGCAGACCTGAAATAAAATGCAAGGTGTAGCTGGTCTGTAGTGGCCACGTAAGCGCCATGGGCATGCAATAACGGACATGAATATAATAGTATAGATGTAGTAGTAGTGACTGAGGCAGGCAGGCCGCTCTCACTAGAGGGCTGAGAGTACTCATGGGTGGCTTGGTATGTCCGCACAATTATCCTGCCCTCTCTGCCATTATCGCATCAACTTGTCGACGCTGCGTTTCGAAAAATTTCTTGAAATAAGCCTGCTTTTCCTCTGGATCAACAATGTGTCTGATGTCCTTATCCCTCCGGCCGCCGGGCCTGAACCATACGAAGCATAACCCGCTGTAGTCGAACAGGGAGATCCAAGGCAGGGCCTGTTCCCGACCCTCAGCCTTGGTCTCCGAGCCTAGGACCTGCAGATCGTTAAGCAGATATTCCCGGAACTTGCGCTTCTCGGTCTCCTCGACGGAGTCAACAGAACGTACGCGCACGAGCTCATCCAGCGTGTACGCGTCTCGACACTTGAAGAGCAGGTACCAGCCATCTGCGAGCTTCGGCGGGCTGCCAAGGTCCTTCTGTCGCGCGTTCCACTTCTCGCGCTCTTCTTGCCTCCAGTAAAAGAAGACAACCTGCACGCCCGGGAATGGGAGCGATGCAAAGTCGTCCGGATGGCGGTCCAATAGCCAGTTATTGATCCGTTTCGAGGCATTGATCGGGCTCTCGGAAAGCTTCCACCAACCTTGCCTATCGTAATCTTCCTTCTTGGCGTTGCGGAAACGATCGATGAGCTCGAGGACCCCAATATCGCTGCGGCGGGCGAACGCCTCGGCGACATCGATGCTAACAACAAACCCGCCCACGCAGTACCCCCAGAACATGGGATCGATATCGGCTTCCTCGGGAAGCATGTTTACTATGGTACGCGTATAAGTGAGCAGCACTTGCAGTGGCCAGCGCTATGGAGAGCTGGAGTCTTACAGGTAAGGGACAAGATAGAACGTGTGATGGGTGGTGGACGAGCGACAAGATGCGTAAGCTGTGAAAGTATCCTGAGATGACCGTCGTCAGTCAAATCCTCAACCAACTGATTTGTTAACGCCACCTCACCTAGCGGAGGAGCTGAGTGACGATGTACCGCCCATGGCTTTTCGGCGGCTCCTTATAAAGGACGGGTGGCACGTGACATGTCCAGAAATTTGCAAAGCCATATCGGCTCATCGCAACCATAACGTCCGAGATTTGATGCAAGGACAAGGATATACGAGTCTCGAACGCAATCATTGACTCCGGTTATTGGTATTATGCACCATCTCCTAAATCGATACAAGGCCGGTAGATGGATTTACTCACCGCAGCAACGATACCCCGGCTGCTTGCAAGAAGACAACGTTCAAACGTTCAAACGTACATGATTTATCTACGCGTTACCTTGTGAAAGTCTGCTACAGCACGATACGCATCACCTGCCGGACGAAGGACCTGTGCCCAGGGCAACGTCGTTGTAGTACTGTCTTGTTTTCCAACTCGACTGTGCGATCTCATACTCATGCTCGCTTTATTCTTAGCTATAGCTCGATGCTTCGTAAGTCCATCGGATGGATTTAAGCGTGCACAGGGGATACTCAATCGTCATGTCACCAGCCGCTTGCCCAGTGTGAGTACATTTCAAAAGACCACGCGTCCCTGCTTAATCCTTGCCTCTTCAGATGGCTTTAATCGAGCATCAACATATCCGAGCCGACCTCAAGCCACTTCTTCCTGAGTGGCTTGCCAACCGCCTGAGGACGCTCGCGAAGTCTTTGCCTAACCCCAATGAAGCCGCAGATCCTGAGGACGTCGAAAAGGCTCCTCGCTACGAGGCGTCAACATACGGGCCGATGAACGCCTCTCTGACACTCTTCTTCCCCACCGAACTCTCTTTCATGGTCAAGCCCCAACCACGTATCAGAAAACCACTCACTCCTGCGCAGGTCGCAAGTGGTAAGCACGCCAGAAATGTCTCGACCGACTCATACAACAACATCGTCCATATCAACGACAAGGATCCTATTCCAGACTTTATTGTCTGTCGTGGCGGCGCCGGTCTTCATGACGACACCCCCCTCATGATAGTCGAGGTAAAGCGTCACGGAGAGACCTTTGCTGATCACGAAGAGCAAGTCGCCAAATACACGGCGTGGGCGCAACGAGAAGGCACCGGCGGTCGGATGGGGTCGAACCAGATTGTCATGCTTGTTGTCGGTTCGGAAACCAGGTGCCTGTCTATTGCTGGCGAAGAAGAACCGGCTTCCATAACAGTAGATACATGGGGTTGGGACATGTTCGAGATTTGGCAACAGCTTCGCCAAGCCAGCGGTGCGCAGGCAGCGTCGGCGGCTTATCCACCGCGCCCAGCATTAGTGTAGTCTATAGTCCAGCTTGTAGGTAAATGTGCTTCATACTGCATCCTAAGACATTATCAGTTCTCGTACAGTTTGGGGCTCAGCGCACACAAGAGCTCGAGGGCAAGGTAGGTGAATTGCATTGTACGCAACGTAAGATACCATCAACAAATACATGGATCGCGACACTGCCAGCATCCGCAAGGCCGTATCATTTAGACAGCAGGGGGCTTAGTGCCGGGCTGGAAGGTGTAGGTCAAGCCGCACTTGCCGCAATACTGGCGGTCCTTGTGGAAGGCCATCTGCACAACATCCATTAGCTACCACGCAGATAATTAGACGAGCGGGATGGACGGACGAAGATACCAGCGCCGCACTCGGCAGAGGGACACTCGCGACGGAGACGCTTGATCTTGCCGTCGGAGTCGACCTTGTAGTACTTGAGGATCGCCATCTTGACTTTCTTACGCTTGTGCTTGACCTTCTTGGGAGTGCTGTACTGCTTTTTCTTGCGCTTCTTGGCACCACCACGCAGACGGAGCACGAGGTGGAGGGTTGACTCCTTCTGAATGTTGTAGTCAGAGAGAGTGCGGCCATCCTCAAGCTGTTTGCCCGCAAAGATCAGGCGCTGCTGGTCGGGGGGAATGCTGGAAGCGACACCATTAGCAAACAGACTACATGAAGAGAGACACAGCTACTCACCCCTCTTTATCCTGAATCTTGGCTTTGACATTGTCGATGGTGTCCGAGGACTCAACCTCGAGAGTTATGGTTTTACCCGTGAGGCTGTAGACATCAAGCAGCTCGTCAGTATTACACTCTCCGATACCAGGAAAGGCGGTGGCTCACGTCTTGTCAAACAACGATGGTTTGTTTGCCCAAGAATAGGACAAACACGAAGTTGTCCTCCGCGAACCGTAGCAACTCCTGGAAGCAGGCTCGTGGTCGATGTCTGCTTCCTCCGAGTCGCATCTCGCGATATTAATTGCACGCGCACGTGCTTCGGCGGTCTTGTGGAAACAAGTTTCACAGGTTCGTCAGGTCACCGTACTGTTCGCCGCATTAATCACTATCAACTCGTTTCCGTTACGGAATGTTATTCACAGTTAATTTCATTCACATCTGTCTAGGCGCACTCACCTTAACGCGTTCATGGAATGCGTGGCACAATATTGCGAGTGACAAATATTGGACTCATGCGATACACACTATTAACCACAGGGAGCAAGAATGAGCAACAGTGAGCTGGGCAAGGCCGGATGAGCGTGCTTTCTTCTCCGCCATCGATTCGTCAATTTGTCATTATTGTGTCTCCAAGAACTTCTCAAAGAATATCATCTTCGCCTCCGGGTCAAGAGGGCGTTTCACTTTTTAGGCTTGACCATACGAAGGATAGTCCGCTGCGGTCGCACAGAGAAACCCGAGACAGAGCCCACTCCCGATCTTCTGCGTTGACCTCCGGACTTAGGACCTGGGGATTGCCGAGCAAGTACTCCCGGCACTTACGTTTCTCGGTCGCCGCGATAGAGTCAGGGGAGTTGGCGCGCATGAGCTCGTCTACATGCTTCCTGGAACCTGAACAGCAGATACCAGCCGTTTGAGGGCTGCGGCAGGGGGCTGACTCAGTCCTTCTGGCGTACACTACACACCTCGCGCTGCTTTTGCATTCAGTCAAAGAAGATGAAATGGGAACAATGCAAAGTCGTCCGGAATCCGCTTCGAGACGATCGGGCTCTCGAAAAACTTCTACCGGCCCTTCCTATGATCGTAATCCTCCTTCTTGGCGCTGCGGAAGCGCTCGATGCCAGCCGAGAGCCCCAATATCGCTGCGGCGGGCGAACGCCTCAGCAACATCGATGCTAGCGACAAAACCGCCGACGCAGTCGCTGGTCCAGAACACAATATCTCTGTCTGCTTCCCCGAGAAGCCTGTCATGATTCGGTATGCTCTCACGTGGACGTTTAGTATCATGACTCGGTATGCTCCGACGGACTTGTATAGTACCATGACTCGACGCGACTCTCACTGACTCTAAATTTTCTATTTTTTTCTGCGATATTCTATCAGGCCTACTCATGGGATTACTTACTCCTTTTGACCAGTCTTGATAACTCGTTGTCTCGGATTCCCTTCTACCCAATGGCTTCTCGTAGCGAACTTATTAGAGTAACTAGTATCAAATACTATTCTCCAGCTTCCGCCCCCTATACTAATAGCGTATAACTGCACTCAGAACTCCGTTAAGTCCCTCTTCGTCGCAACCAGTGAGTTCTAACGGGAATGCGGGAGGATGGACATGCTCTGCGTGGCTTTGTACTGTTAACCCTAGACTCGTGGCCAGTCTGCTCGGTAATTGGTGGGACGCGTACCGAGGGTATCGAGCCTACTGTTACCCTTGAAGAGCTTTTTTGGTGATAAATGAGGCTGGAGCTGTGGAGCTGTGTTAATAATCCCCGCATCTGATTTTCTTCAAGTTCGTCTTACCGTAGGCTCGCCCTCAACATCCCTCTGGGTCAGCTATGAAGCATGCTCATAACTTTCGGTACTTGTACGTGATATCATTGCAAAACGAGAGCTTGTGGAGCTTATGAGTAGTTTGTAAGGTCTGATACAGGCAATGGATATTCGATCTTTTAACTAGAATGTGCCAAGGACACGGACACTGGCAGTGCACAGACGACATCGAAATCGGGAATGTGCAAGGGACAGGCGGTGTATGTTAGTACTAGTGACTTAGGCAGGCTGGGCGTTCTCGTTGTGGCTCAGACTCTTACTCGTGGATGGCTTGGCGAATTCCACAATTATCCTGCCCTCTCTATCATTATTCATCAATCTGTCGTCGTCGCATCTCTAGGAACTTCTCACAGAATATCATCTTTTCTTCCGGGGTTAACAAGGTGTTTTATGTCCTTGAGCTACCAGCCTTGAACCATACGAAGCGTAGTTCGCCAGTGTAGTCCAGACGTTGTCTTTGAATTTGTGCTCGAGAATAGACCGCCGTGTCTGTATGCGCTGAAACAGCCTGAGTCCGAGTCGCGTTGCCTGGTCACATAACTGATTATTCATGGTAGTATGTTGGAGCTTCCTGAATATCTTATTCACAGAGGTGCAATGTCCTGTGGCGATGTTTGCCGCGTACTGCATGTACCGGACTACCACTAGCCACAAACCATGGATGATCTAGCAGCTAGACTGATCCGCATTCCCACTAGCCTCTAGCTTCTGCTGACGTTGCTTCGCCAGCCGTGTCCGAAGCTTCTCAAGGAACGCCTTCTTACCCTCTAGTCCTACGTGGTATGTCACTTGTCCGTCCCTCCAGCCGCCGGTATTGAACCACAGGAAGCATAGCCCACTGTAATCCAGCAGGGAAGCCCACGGCATGGCTTGCCCCTGATCGTCGGCTTCTGTGCCAAAGACCTGCAAATCGTTGAGCAGGTATTCCCGAAACTTGCGCTTCTCGGTCTCCTCGACGGAGAAGGGAGAGTTGACGCGCACGAGCTCGTCGAGTGTATACATGGCTCTGCATTTGAAGAACAGATACCAGCCATCCGCAAGCCTCGGCGGGTTACCGACGTCCTTCTGACGCGCGTTCCACTTCTCGCGCTGCGCCTGATCCCAGTGCACGAAGCTGGTCTGCACGCCCGGGAACGGGAGCGACTGAAAGTCGTCCGGGTGGCGGTCCAAGAGCCAGTTGTTGATTCGTTTCGAGGCATTGGTTGAGCTTTCAGATACCTTCCACCAGCCCTCCCAGTCGTAGTCTTCCTTCTTGGTGTTGCGGAAACGGTCGATGAGGTGGAGGACGTCGATGTCGTTGCGACGGGCAAACGCCTCGGCGGCGTCAACACTGATGAGGTAACCACCAACACAGTAACCGCGGAACGCGAGGTCAACGTCCGCCTCTTCGGAAAGCATGCCTGCTAGAATGCCGGCATATATGAGCACAGCGATCATGTTGGCGTGGCGCAGGTATAGCTTACAAATAGACGACTTTGTCAGGTGTAGCTGAACGTGCACGGTAAGTTGAAGGTGGTTTGAGCCCTGAGGTGACCGTTATCAGGCTTCCCGTCTCACTGACTGATTTTTGTGGCCATGTTACTTACCGGAAAACTCGAGTGATGGTGTACTGCTTAGTGCATCGCCACCTTGACCGACTAAATACCATTCAGGACGAATTGGCGCGCGGTAGCCGCGGGCGCTCAGCGTCGGGTGCAGTTGTTCACTTGTTGATAACATAACGATTTCCGAATGTCGGAACAAAGGTTGTGGGGTTTGAAGGCCGTCGCCGTCGTCGTCGACCTAAGATAGAAGTACAAGGTGTGGCCGGGTTGTGGTTGTTGCGTGAGTGTGTTGTGCATCTCTTAGCGATGAGCGTAAGCTTGAAACCGAACGGACGAGAAAATTCATGACAAAGGGCACATAGAGACAGTCAGGTGGCTCTGCCTGGGGGTGTACACGTTTACAACGAGCCCTTGTGCAAATAACAAAGATGCCATGGTACCAGGATTTTGTTCTGTGGTACGGCATCGCTCGCCCCATTTGTGTTCAAAGTCACGGTCAAGGGACGTGTTCTTGTTTGCTCCTTCCCGAACCCGGTGCGCCTTATTCATGAGTTATAGCTTCACAGCATATATGCTTCGGCATGTATGAGAAATGGCCGTTACACCACCAGCTAGCCTTTCCTCCTCAGACATGGACAATTCAGTAAGTGTTCAACGTCAAGATGCTGGCATTAATCACCTATATCTAACTGCCATTTCTTAGGTGCCCCTTATTACATACCAGCATATCCGGGCAGATCTCAAGCCAATATTTCCTGAGTGGCTCGCCAAACGCTTGAGCACTCTAACGGAGTCTTTGCCAGCCGGCCCAGCATCCAGACAGCTTGTCGATCCCGACGAGACTAGGGCTGCAGACCAGCCGGATCACGCCCCTCGTTATGAAGCCTCGATGTATGGGCCTATGAATGCTTCCCTGACTCTTTTCTTTCCCCTGGAGCTTTCCTTCATGGTGAAGCCTCAGCCACGAATCCGTAAACCTCTCAGTCCCGCTCAAGTCGCGCAAATCCAGGGCAAACATGTACGGAACATCTCGAGCGACTCCTACGATAACGTAGTCTATGTTTCTGACAAAGATCTCATCCCCGACTTCATCGTCTGCCTCGGGGGAGCTGGTCTCCACGACGACGAATATCTCATGATGGTCGAAGTGAAGCGCCACGGAGAGCAGTTTTGCGACCACACGAAGCAGCTCGACAGCTACACCGAATGGACTAAGCGGACCAACCGGGCGGACTTGGATCGGCTCATCATGGTGGTGATTGGGTCGGTAGCTATGTGTCAGACCGTTACTGCCAAGGGTGAGACGGACACCATGTTTACAGACACATGGAGTTGGGAGATGTTCGAGATATGGCATCACATCCGCCAAAGCCATGGGAGACAAGCGGTCTCAGGAGACTACCCACTCAACCCATTCGCGCAGTAGTCTAGTACTTAGTTGGCTGATATTTGTAGTCGCTAGCTGCTGTTGCTTATCTCGAAAGTCGCCTGTACTTTAAGTATGCCGCTAAACACTCCTTACCTAAACTCATTGCAATGCTCCGGGATCTCACTGCACTGCGCAAAACGGCAAGTTATGCAGAAGCGTAACCTCGGCGTAATCTGAGATTACACCTAGATTCTGCGCGTGCTACGGATAGATTAAGCCGCGGGCGGAATGACGTCGTAACCGCCAGGTTACGCTCACATTTCACCCAGACTACGAGCACCCAGCGTTAATGTGAGAATGACATGAGTATCCGCGTGAATTAGAATACAATAAGTCTCCTACTCGTAAATAAGCGCGAATTTAATACCGCACCCTGGCTGTATGCGTGCGCTTAGCGGTAATCGACCTTGCCCCGCACGTTTTAACTCACGCCAGCACCCTCGTCCGATCGTTTGGATGTCAAATTGTGAGTTAAACATAGCATATATGCGACGCACTTTGATCTCATTGCTTTCCATCATTGCCAGGCTCAGTACCGCTCGCGCCGCCTGGGCATCCAAGGAGGTAGGATCATCTGCGTCCTCATTTTCATCTCTAGTCTCCACATCTGAGCCAGTGCAGGTCTTGTTGCACTGGGTTGCGACGGGTGGGGTTGGCTGG